TTAGAAGCAAAGCTTCTTCATGGCAGGGACTGTCTTTGTTTCTGCTTGTATTTGTATTTCGAGCACTTAGCACAATACTGGGCACGTAGTAAGGTCTTAATAAATGCTTACTGGCTGACTGGCAAGATAATGTATAGCAGTCATGTGGAAGAATCTTGGACTATCAGAGCTGGAAGGAACACCTGAGAATAGAGAATAACAGAAATATAAGGGACCTTAGAACAGAGAATGCAAGAGCTGGGAGGGACTTTGAATATGGAATGTCAGAGCTGGGAGGGCCCTTAGAACAGGGAATGTTAGAGCTGGGAGGGCCCTTAGAGCAGGAAATGTCAGAGCTGAGAGGGCCTTAGAGATCATGTAGTCTAGAGATATCAAAACTCCTGGACTGAAAAACACCAAAATGCTCCCCAGACCAGCTCAAAATGTAATTGGGAAATGCTTATGAAGGTAAATACAACTGTGCTCCATGGCTAATGTTCCTAAGTCAGCAGTCATCTGCTGGGCTATGTTTCTCCTGGAGGTGTGTTAGGAGGCACTGAGGGGGCAGTGCCCCAGGCCCCATTGCTCTTGGCTCAGGCTGAGGCCAGGCTGCCTCCTGACCACTGTGCTCCCTGCTTTCCTCAGAGCTTGTTGCTGTGGCCCTTCAACTCCAACTTAAAATTCATCATGCCGGTTCTGAGGTCCTCCTACTCTCTGCTCAGTGCATCCAGAAGATCCTGAAGAAGCTGTGGGAAGGAGGTGGGGGCACAATTGGGGCCCTTTGTTGGGGGAAGGGCGATGAGTCCTGCTGGTGGGAAGAGGGGGGGCAAACAGAGGGGTTTCCTCTGCTTGGCTAATCCCTCTGGCCTGCTTTCTAGGGTCCCTTTCAGGAGAAACCCTAGCCCTGAGAAGCCGTAGCTGTAACTTGTTATAATAAATTGCTTTCTTTTTAGCCAGCTATCTGTCTTATCAATAGCTGCATGGCCAAGCACACTCACCACCATCCTTGTGCCACCGCAGCCCACAGTCACGCTGGGAGTCCTGGGTCTGAACCCCACCTCCACCCCTCAACACTCGCAGGTCTGCTGAGTAGAGCCCAGGAGAGGCAGCCTGACCTATGTTGCCCATGGGCAGTCCACCAGATACTGAAGGCATCCCAGAGAGCAGAAAGGGCAGGGGTGATGGGGGAGATGTAGGAGGATGCCTCCTCCTCCTCCCTCCGTCCCTCCCTGCCAGCTCCCCACTCTTAGAAGTTATCACAGACTCCAGGCTGGGGTGGAGGGGAGTTAATACAGTGTGATAATTTACAGGCCCCAGGAGCTCTGGTTCCCACGTGACCTTCTTCCCTTATTTGCTCTGCAACACTGGGCAAGTGACTTCCTGTTCCTAATCTCATTTTCCTTTCTGTAAAATTAGGTGGGAGGGGATGGATTTTAATGAATTTCCCAAATTCCTTGCCAGCCCCTGGGACCAGTCCCCTTATACTCTTCCTTAGGTCTGACATTCTGGGTCTTGTATTCAAGCTGGGCCGTTGCCCTCGATATGTGCCACTTTCATTTTTCCAATGCCATGGAAGCCAAATCTCAGAGAGGGGAATGAATTTGGCGAAAGCTACACAACGAACCTACCCAGGGAGGGGCAGAGGCAGGAAAGGTCTCAAGGCTCTCTCCCTTAGAACAAGCAGAGAGCCTTCTCCTCCCGCCACCCCCCCCATGCATGTCACAGCCCTCTCCCCCTGTATCCCTCCCCCCTGCGCTTTGCCCATCAGCACAGCTCCCTCCCCTCACCCTCCTCTGAACACCTCTAGCTGAAAGCTGGGAGGGGTGGCTCCCAGAGGGCAGAATTCAGCCCTCACTCTTGGCTGCCTTTAGCTATGTCCCTTCCCCTTCCCTTTGAGGAAGAAAAACAAGGAAACAAATGAAATTCCTGTCTCCTTCCCAGGGCCTCTCGGGACCCAGCAGGGAGTCACCAAATCCCAGAGTGTCAGGGCAGGAAGGGATCGCAAAGGTCGCCTTGGCCAAATCCTCTAGACAGATGGGGAAACCAAGACCAAGGGAAGGAGTGGGACCTAGGCCAGGGTCTCATAGTGAGGCAGAGGAGGGGCAGGGCCCAACTTCCCACTCCTAGCTCTGGGGCCAAGGGAGCTTACCCACTTACCCAAGGCTAGAGACTGGGAAGAAGAGATTGGAGAAGGCCCTGCCTTCCCTCCATTGGCTGTAGGACTTCCTGAAACTCCCAGGCTGGCGGGGATTGGCCCTGGAAGCCTTCTTGGAAGCAGCCAGTGTGGCAGCTCAGGTGTGGCAGGGTATGTGAGGAGTTCAGCTGAGACCAGATGCCCCTTTTCACGAGCATGGAGTTCAAATCCTGCTTCTAACATTCATTAACTTTGTGACCTTGGACCTACCCTCCTGGGGACTGGTTTTCTTTTTCTGTGAAAGGGAGTTGACAGTCTGGCCTCTGAGATCCCTTTCAGCTATAAATCTTATCCTATAAACTCCTAGATATCTGAAACCTTTGAGGTTTCATTTCCTTATTCCCCAGACTGTTCCCTTCTTCTGGTATAGGATGTAAATGAGGTTGCTTCAGAACGGAGAGTGGTATGGAGGGGACCTAAAGCAGCCAGTGGTCAGGCATACAGCCATGTTTCCTGCTCAGACTGGGAGTCCTTGGAAGGGAAGGCCAAGCCTTCTTCCTTTTGCAGGGAGATTCCTGCTAGGGCACCCTAGCCACCTTGGGGTTCACACCTCTAGCTTCTGGCCCAGCTCGATGTGGGAGAGAGAGCTTGGTGCCCTGACCTTGCCTCAGGGGCCTGCTTGGTGCCTCCCCACTTCCCATCCACCCCCACCTCCCAAAACAAAACTCAGCCTCCACTGCTGGTTAAATAGAAACACATTTATTTTATCATCATACATTCCCTATTACATGAGGAACCACCCCAAGAAGAAGTTTAGAGGGAAGAGAGATGGAGATGGGGCAGAGCAAGGCACAGCCTGCATTATTTCTACGGGACCTACCCTAACTCCGGAGCAGCCCTGGCTCCCAGCTCGGCCACTGGCTTGCTGTGTGACCTAGGGAGAAGTCCCTTATCTCACTCGTGAGCCTCAGTTCTCCCGTCTCTAAAATGAGGGAATAAAACTCCACATCTGATGTATCTTCCCACCCTGATAGTCCGTGCACTTAGTGTAGTGGCTGGCACATAGTAGGTGCTTAATAAATGTTTATTGATTGATTATTGATCTGGGTCCTAACTTTCTTTTCAATCTTCACTTTCTATATTTTAAGAAGCCTCCCAGCACTGACCTTCTCTTGTCTGAGGTTCCTCCCAATTCTGACATTTGGTGTTTTAAAAGTTCTCCCAGTTCTAATTCTCTATGTTGTAATGGCCCTTCCAGCTCTGATATTCCACCTTCCTAGGGTTCTCCTACCTCTGATATTCTGTTCTAAGGACTCTCTGAGCTCTAACATCCCTTACTCTATGACCTGGTTTGAAACCCAGGGACAGAATCCATCCTTGGGGGCAGAATCTTTCTCAGCAGCAGATGTTGGGGGAAAGGGAGAAGACATAGGCTTCCAGGTTGGGATAGCAGCATCACAAGGCAGGTTGTAGGAGTCCCAGGTGCGCTCAGGGCTGGGCACAAGGCCGAGCAGGGGGCCGAGGGCAGGGCCTGTGCAGGCGGGCAAGATCAGGCCTAGTGAGTTGGGCAAGAGGGAGGGGGAGGCTCCGACAGAAAGTTGGCCAAGGGACAGGAATGTCAGAAAAAAAAGTTCAGTCTCTGGGAAGAGCAGGAGCCCCTTCCCCACTCTACTCCAGGTTCCTGGCCACAGCCAGCATCTCATGATGCGCTGCTGCACCCTGGAGAGCCCTCACATCTAAGAGGGCAGCCACATGCTTCCTCCTTGGGAGACATGAGGGGATATCATTGAGGTCTCAGAACCCTCACCATCCAACCCAGGTCCAGAACAATCATTCTATCCAGATATGGGGCTTGGAACTCTCCCAAAGGCAGCTCTAGAACCTAGAGACCCACATACAGAATCATCATCCTTTCCCCAACTATTTCAGGGGGATCACACCCCCCAGGTTAATTCTCACCCTAGTTCAATCCCAGAGCCCCACCCCCAAAGAGATCTAGAGCCAATATTCTCCCCAAGTGTTGCAGGCTAGAGCCCATCAAATTCTGAAGTCCTCACCAGTCCAAAAGTCAACTATAGAAACCCCAAACACAGATCCAGAACCCTAGGCATGGTCACGGCACAGTTCTGGGAGCTTTATTCATATAGTCAGCTCCAGAATCAGTCTCCCCCTCAACCACGTCAGTCCTGGAATCCTTATCTCTGGAGCCCAGAAGCAGAGCTAGATCCCCAAACTCTGAAACCCACCCAGAGTAGGCCCCTCCAATTCATCTCCACATATTCCACCAGGTGCTTTCGGTGCAGGTCCCCAACCAGGGTCTACGCACATATTAGAGTAAGTACTAAGGGGAGACACAGTGATGTGGGGCAGGGGAGAGAGATTATCAGGATAGAAGGAAGTAGAAATTGGGGGGGATATTGGAGGGGCACAGAGGGGAATAGAGATGAGAAGAAATAATGGGACTTTACAGGGAAAAAGATGGGGAGATAGAAGGACAAAGGAGATGGGGAAAATGAGAACAGGAAGAGATGAAAGGGGAGAGATTGGGGGACAGAAATGGGAGAGATATAAGGGAGATAGAGAGGAGGAGATATTTCAGAGACAGAGAAGGGCATTAGAGAGAGGAAATATTGGGGGAGAGAGAAGAAGAAGAGGAGGAGGAGGAGAAGGAAAAGGGGGAAGAGGAAGAGGAGGGGAAAGAGACAGGGAGGGAGAGGAGAGAGGGGCAAAGACAGATAGGGAGGATAGATATAGGGGGAGATTGGGCTAGACTAGATAGAGACCCCTTTTTTTTTTAGGGGTTAAGTAACTTGCCCAGGATCACACAGCTGGTAAGTGTCAAATGTTTGGTCTGAGGCCGGATTTGAACTCAGGTCCTCCTGCCTTGATGGCCGGTGCTCTATTCGCTGTGCCACACAGCTGCCCCTAGAGATCCAATTTTGGAAGAAGATGAGAAGGGAGGAAGGGCAAAGGCACCAGGAGAAGGGGGGGATCCTTTGCCCCTTCATTTTTCTGCCTTTCTCCCCGTCCATTCTCCACCTATCCCCTCCCTCCCACCTGTGGACATGTCCATTCATATCAGGTAAGGCTGCTCATGAATGCTTCTGAGGGCTAAGGCTTGAGCTCCCAGGGTCTCTACAATGCCATCCAGAGCCTCAGAGCTGGTCAGCTACTTGTGACACATCACTTTGGAGAAGTGGGGCTGGAATCGTCCAGAGAAAGGACAGATCAGAATTCATCTGACCCACAGCTCCCTTCAGGTCCCACCCAGGCCCCCGAGCCCATGAGTAGAAGAGCCGGGAATTCTTCAAGTCTTAATGGGGGGGTCCCAGAGCCCATCAATGTCTTCATGAGGGTGGGAGGGGTTGAGCACACACATGTAACCAAAGCTGAAGCTCATTTAATTCATGGGCACCCATTCCATACAGAGTCACAGACCTGAGCACAAAGGACATAAAAGGTCACACCCATCCTGGACCAGCACGCCCAGGCGCAGCCTCAGGCTTCCACACTTCTGAGTATAGCAGTCAATAGGCAACGGGAGCCTTTGGGAGTTTAGGCCCAGACCAAGGTTGTGCCTCCCCCCTCCCCCAGCTGGGCTGTCAGTGTAAATATCTATCTCCTCCCTCCATTCTGCTCCCTCCCCTTTCTTTCCTCTCTTCCTCTCTCCTAGTCCAGTCTCTGGCTTGGCTGGATCTCGGCCTGATCCTGATCTGACCCTTGTCACAACCCCCAGGTCCCCATTTTCTAGACAGTTTGGGAGGGGGCCCAGGGGCTTCCTGACCTGCAGTTCTTGAAAGAGGAGGTGGAAGAGGCAGGTCGCATGGTCAAGAGCATTTGCAGCTGCCTCCCAAGCAGGCTCGCTCTCTGAGGGCCCCAGGCAGGACAGACGCTCAGCTAGAGAGCTGCAAGGGAGAAGCCAGGGCTCATCACTAGCTGGCCTTGGGTCCCGGCTCACTCACTCCACATATTGGGTGGGCAGGCAGGCAGGGAAGCGTATCTCTCCACGTTTGGAGGAGGGGTTTCTGTGTCTTTGGAGGATTTATCTGTACCTGAGTGGTGGGCAGAGGGCATGGCTTTGGTCCGTGTGAGAGGTCTCTCCATATCTCTGATGGGAGGGTGTCTCTGTCCTTGGAGGAATCTCTCTTTGGGTCGTCTTTCTAGTGGAGTTTCTCTGTTTCTGGAGTTCTCTTTGTGTGTGTGTCTGAAGGTCACTCTGTCTCTGGAGAGCTTACTCTCATAGTGTAGGGAGGTGTCTCTTTTGAAGTCTATGTCCCTGAGGAGGATGTCTCTGTGTCTCTGGGAAGGATGTTTTTCTTGAGGCCACAATGGGCGTCCCTTTCCATGTTTCCAGAGGAAGTATAGGGAGGCCCTTTCTGTGGCCCTTTTCCAGGGGGATAGAGTTGGGGAGAGGAAGGAAAGGACCTCAGAACATCTGGGATAGGGACAGACTCCGCAAGGAAAGGTTGGGCCAACTCCCCATGGGGAGAACATTAGGTCATGCTGGGGCCCTTCTCCCGTCCGCTCTAGGGTCTGACTTAGTGATGGAGGGGGCCATAGCTCACTAAGGTAATTGTCTGACTGATATAAGTGTCACACGGCAGCCCTCGGATGCTTGGGTTCTCATGGAAGCTCTCTACCCGCTGCTGGAAACTGGAAGGCCAAGTTCAGGTCAGGTCTCTCCTTTGCAGCCCACCCCTTCAGTTCTGAGCTCACATCCTCCAGGAAGCGCTCCAGATTTCACTCTCCCTCCTGTTTTATCACTTTCTCACCCCTTATCAGTTTCTCACCTCCCATTCACTTCTCCACCCTCAGGCAATCTGATTTCCATCTTCACCACCTGACTGAAACTGCCCTCTTCTGGGCCACTAGGAATTTCTCTATTGCTAAATCCAATGACCTTTTCTCACTCTTCCTCCATCTCTCTGCTGCTTTGGACCCAGCCTACCATCCTCTCCTCTGAATACTCTCTCCTCTAGGTTTTCAGGATGTACTCCTCCCACCTGCTCCTCCTTCCACCTGATAATAACTTGGCTGATCCCACTTCCCGCCTTCCCTGCTCCCCATAGCTAGGATCATCCCACATCCCAGATGACTCCCATATGTGGCCCACATTTGTCTGCCAAGCTCCGGGCTCACATCACCACTGTCTGCTGGATATTTCCATCTGGATGTCCCATAGCTGAGAATCCTAATAGAAGCCACAATCTTTCCTCTCCAACCTACCCCTCCTCCTAAACCTCCCATTTCTACAATCTGTGCCTTGTATAGCCAGAGCCTGGGAGAATACCTGATACATAGCCCAGCTTCTGCAGGAAGTCCCTTCCCCACCCGATCCCACCTCTTCCCTCTGAGAGCACTTTCCATCTGTTTAGCATGCATTTGTGCATGCAACGTTACTGTCTTGCTGTCTTCCAGCCCGGAATATAAGCTCCCTGATGGCAAGAATTGGGAAGTGTTTGGGTTTTTCAGTTTTTTTTTTATATTCCCAGCCACTGCTCTGGTGCCTGGCTCAATCATTCAATACATGCCTGGGCCACGATGTGAGCGCCATGGTGCGTGGTGTATACTGGCAAGCTGGCCTCGATGTAGCCGGCCTGGCAGCCCATGGGCTTTGTGGCATCCCACAGCATCCGCCTGGCTTGCAGCGACCACTGCGCCCTGACCGAGCACCTGGACATCGCAGCCAGCTGCCACCTGCTGCCTGACATCCAATCTCCTGCTGAGCCAGCCCCCAGCCCCCGGGCATAGTGGAGGAGCAGCCCTCCTCACCTGTGTTCCACCCCCACTGTGCTTCCCAAGGTCTAGTGTCCTTTGATGGCGTCTCTGGGAAGGATTGGTAGAGGCTGTATCAGTGCTCCTAGATCCGGGTTCCAGGGGCCCTCCACTGGGTTGGGGGCTGGGAAGGGCCTGTAAGCTGGGAGCTGCCTCACCCTCTATACCCTCACCAGGTTTCAATAAAGTCTTTGGAAAGAGATGGCCGAGTGTCCTTGGAATGGAGGGATATAGTGGGAGGAGGTGGCACAGGGCACAGTCCCCAAAATCCGTACCCACCATGTACAACCAATGGTGGTCACCAGGCAGCACTGTGGTTCCTTCCAGGATGCCAGGGTTCCTCCATGCCAGGCCTTAGGCTGGCCGGCCCCGCCCATTACCATTCCACCTGGGCGTTCCACCAGTCCTTCATTGCCAGGTGACCCCTCCCCCCTCAGACCTTAGGACCTGGGTGATCCTGTGGCCTTTCATCCTCTGGATTCTGTAGAGCTGAGCCTGCCCCTCACCAAGGCTGTCCTGCCGAACCTCCAGGTTGTCCTGTCCAGGATGGGGTCGTGGATGGAACCAGGTGGCTCAGCCTTCCAAATGCTCAGCACTGTGGCTGCAACCTGGTGGCTTCTGCGGGTAGCCTGGTGGCTGGGCCATGCCCTGCCCCAGATTGGCCTGGGCCTTGGCATTTCTCTCAGGAGACAAGGGGCCTGGGCAGGTGTGTGGGAGAAGGAGGGAGGGAAAGGGGCCCAAGGGGGAGGGAAGGGGCAAGGGCACTGATGATAGGGGTCCTGTGACCTGCTGCCTCAGAGGAGTCTGTGGACCGTGGATGGAGGATTCCAGGACCTCGATTCAAAATTCAGTCAAGCTGCTTCGGAACCCCTGTGACCCCCCTGGGCAAGTCACTTCCACTCTGGGATTCACTTTCCTTGTTTATAAAATACATGTCTCACCAAGGGGCCCCAAGGTCTGTCTGAACCTAGAATATGATTCCATGACATGGGTGACTGCGAGGAGGGCTGAGACTCGGGTGGCTTTTTTTGTTTTTGTGGTTTTTTAACATTGGGGGCAGCTGGACTAAATGATTTCCAGAGTCCTGGGAGGCTTTACATCTGAGGTCCTCTGATCTCAGTAGTGCCTATGTAGGTGCTCACATTCAGGCATGCCCCTAGGGCTACAGGCCCCCTGCAAGCACGTTCCCCTTGTGCAGACTCACATTTCCAGGTTGAGTTCCACTGCATAAACAGCTTAAAATCCTTTTCAATTCCTGGGCCATGAAAGTAGAACTCAGAAGGAGGAGGTGGAGAGTAGAGGCTCTCTCCTGCCCCTTCCTGGGATGTCCCATTGGGTGGGTCCTGCAGAGGGTTCCCCCCAGGGACTCCCAGATCTCTCTCCTCACAGTGGTAACCGGGGCCACAAACGGAATCGGCAGGAGCTATGCTCATGAGGTAAGTTGGGGGGGGTGGCTGGGGCCAACTGAATCTGTCTTTAGTATAGTTGGACATGGTCCCACATCTCTACTCCATTGCATTCTACATACACGGTCCAATGCATTCGGTGTTTTCTCCTACACGTGCTTTCTTCTATGTGCCCTGATCATTTTCTAGAGCCTCAGGACATGTGTTTGCAGGGGGATTCCTGTGTAAAGACATATAAATGTAGCAATTAATGTTACAGGTGAATGTATATACATATATACATACATACAGAAAGATGGATAGATGATAGAAAGACAAGTAGACAGGATAGGTACAAAGACAGACAGATAAGTACATCCATATTTGTCCTGAGTGTTTCTGCTCAGGGGTTCCTATGAATTTCCCATGTCCTTCTTTGTTCTATGCACGCCTGCTTATTTGGATGGACCCTCTTGAGTCTTCTGTAGGTGTGGGAGGTTCTGTGTGCCCACTCCCTCAGTCTCCCCATTCTCCTGCCTCCATACAGCTGACCCGAAGAGGCCTCAATGTTGCACTGGTGAGCTGAGATCTCAGCAAGTTACGTCGGGAGGCAGAGGACATTGGTGAGGGCTGCACTAGAAAGGAGGGCCATGGGAGAAAAGTGAGGCTGTTCAAGGTTCCACAGTGGGATTTGGAACCAAAAGACCCAGGTTGGACACAGCTCTGCTAGACACGGGCTGTGTGTGAACCTGAGCCAGTCAGTCCCATGTGTTCTCTGGGCCTTTCCTCATCTACATAATAAGGAGCAGCATTAAGCTTCTGTTTCTGAATTCTCTGAGTTTTCCTGCAGAGAGACTCCATGGTAAGGAAACAAGAGTCATCCAGGTGGACTTCAGTGGAGGCTTAGAGATCTATGAGACAGTTGAGAGAGGCTTGGAGGGCCTAGACATCGGCATTCTAGGTACACACCCATTCCCTCTTCCCTTCTCAGTCCTGCCCCAGAATTCCTCTCCATCCCCTTGCTCTGTGGTACTGACCTGTTTTTTTTGCAGTCAACAATGTTGGAGTAGCTCCCAAGATAATCCCCCAGAAGCTAATGGATGTGAAGAATCCAGGCAAGGTAGAGGAAGCTACATTACCCCTCCCCACCTCTGCCACCCCCACCCAACTCATGCCCTTTTCCATTTCTCTCAATTTTTCCATCTCTTCTACTCGCCTCCTTAATCCTGCCCTCTTTATGTGCCCCTTCCTTAATTACTCCATCTTACCTTCCATCTCACCACCCCCACCTCCCCAACCTTTCTAACAGGCAGAAAGTGCTTTGGAAATTTAAATCAGGTGAGAAATGTAAGCTCCCCTTGCTTTTGTGGCCATAATAATAATCAATGTTGAGAAAATGTTGCCTTCAAAATTCTGACAATTTGTTCCAATTTAAGTCTATTTATTGTCCGTGTATTTATTTACAAATGTGGTATCATTTGTTTTAATTGGGCCTTGGGTCAAGCTTGGGGGGAGGGATTTGAGTGCTTAGGGAAATTTTCCTAGAGGAGATGGATCTTGATGGGGAAGTGGGACGGAGGGGGGGGGAGCCTTGAAGGTTGAGAAAGCCTTTAATGTCTCAGCAAACTCCAACCTGAGAATTCATGGCCAGGTTGGTTTTGGGGGAAGTGAGAGACTCTGGGGCCCATGAAAAATGAAAGGTGTCCTCTGTCTTCCCAGAGTTTCACAGATGTGATGAATTGTAACATGCTGTCAATGGTTCAGGTAAGACTGAGGCAGAAGAGACAGGAAACATCATTGGCAGGGGATGGAAGGGAGTGGGATGAGGGATATGGGGAGAGTCCAGGCAGTGTGCCAAGGGTGGATCATTGGGTAAATTTAGCCTTTCCTTCTTCCGCCTCAGATGGCAGCCAGGTAGGGGCCCAGGCATCCCCTTCTCCCCATCTCTAAGGCCTGCTTCCCATCCATACAGACCTCCTTGCCTATCTCACACACACCCCCACCCCCAGACACTCATTTGTCTTTGATTCTGCCATTCTCAGTTTTCTTCTCGGATTTTGCAGGGGATGAGGAGTCATCATCAACATATCCTCTGAGGCTGGCAGACAGCCTTCCCCATTCTTGGCGTTATGTGGGACTACTAAGGTAAATGAGTCCCACATCTGAAAGAGGCCAGACCCTTTGAAGTTACCAGGAACAAGAAAGAGGTTCAGGCTTTGGGATGGAATGAACAGAACTGTGAATGGGCCATAGAGTTCCCAATCACCCAGTGCCACCCAAAGGTCCCTTGTAATCTGTTTATGAGCATTTGTGCCACCCCGTTTACCATCTGTGTGTTGAGAGCTCCCAAAGCTGCCACTGTCACTGCAATCAGCTGCAAGACCCACCATTGGGTGCCCCTGTCACACTCTGGGCCTTTATCCACCCCGAGGTTCCAGACCTTTCCTGTTGACCTCCTAAGTTGTCTTAAGCTGGAATAATGACTTCCTGTGACCTTCTGTTGGCTTTGCTGCTCCAAAATTTGATTTGAAGCAATATTTTAAAGTTCTTTGGCAGAAAATGTTGGGAAAGTTCAACTCCACCGGGGCCTGTAACTCCACTATCTTGACCACTCCCTCCTAGTTCTGGCATGCTATGCTCTAAGGCCCCTCCTGTCCCTCACACACTCTGTTCTAAAGTCCCTCCCAGCTCTGTCATTTCCTATTCCAATGTACCCCCTCCTCAGTATTCCCTGTTCTAAAGTCCCTCCAGTCTCTATCATTTCCTCCAACCAGCTCTAACATTCTATGTTCTGAGCCCTGAGCTGACCCCCCAGAGACCTCTCACTCTAGCATATCCTTTGTCCTGAGGCTCCAGAATTCCTTTGGTCAGAAGCCTTCTTGTCACCCCAGGAAAGGGAACCATGTCCAAAGGAAGAAGTGGTGGTCACAGAGTGCCAGCAGGACTGCAGCAACGACAGGTCTTGCCAAAATAACCTTATTTCCTGTTAGGGCAGATGCAGAAAACTAGCACAGATCAAGGGTATTCAATAGATAGCAGTTACCCGGATCTCACCCAGGTGTTTGATAATATATCTCATGATGTTGTGGAAAAGAGAGATGTGGGCTAGATCGCAGCTTTATTGAGGCCACTAGGGGACGGCAGAGTGCACAGAGTGCTGGGTCTGGAACTCAGAGCCTTACTAGGTATGTGACCCTGGGCAAGTCACTTAATCTCTCTTTGCCTCAGTGTCTTCACCTGTAAAGTGGGGATACTAATAGTACTTACCTCCAAGGGTTGTTTTGAGGATCAAATGAGAAAATAATTGTAAAGCACTTAGTGAAAGGAGTGAAACATAGTAAGGATAATGAAAATGCTAAGTATTGTAAGGTATTAAGTGCAGGAGTCTCAAAACACTTGAATGACCAGATACAAAGAGTTCTTCATTTATAGTTTGTTAATATCAACTTGGAAAGAAGTCTCCTGGAGTGCCAGAGGGATCTGTGCTTGGGCGTATTCTGCTAAGTGGTTTTTTTTTTAAATCGTTGACTTAGATAAAGGCAGAGATGAAATGTTTATTCAAATGCGTAGTTGACCCAAAATTGGGAGGGAAAGAACTTTGGAATGTGCATTTTTATAGTGCCCACTATGTGTTAGGCACTGTGCTGAGTACTCTAGAAAGATTATCTCAATTTGTCCTCACAACAGCCTTGGGAAGTAGTTGCAGTTATGCATATTTATAGATGAGGAAACTGAGGCAGATAGAGTTGAAGTGAGCTGGCCAGGGTCATGCAGCTAGGAAGTGTGTGAGGCTGCATTTAAAGCCAGGTCCTTCTGCCTCCAGTGTTCTCTCCAGGTTACTGCCACCCCCACCCCCACCCCAACAAGAATGGATGACAGAGCCAGGAAGTGAAGGGATCATGACAGGCTGGGTGGATGCTAATCACATGAAACTATATAGGGATGAATGTAGCTTTACATTAGATGCACAAATCCAGTTTTTTGGTTGGACAACAGTTTTTCTGAGAAAGATCTGGAGGTTTCAATGATTTGCAAGTTCAGTATCTAGTATCACTGTGATCCAGCAGCCAAAAAGCTAACTAGATCTTGGGCTCCAGTAACAAGCTGGTGAGCAGTCATATCTCTCCGTACTCTACTCTGGCAGCACCACATCAAGACTCTCACAGTCAATTGTGAGTGCTACCCTTTAGAAGAAAACTGATAGGAAAACATCCAAAGAAATGCAACCAGGATAGTGAGGGGCCTCGTTCACCAAACTGGGAAAGCTTCTTCTGAGCCTCTCAGATGCTTGGGCTCCCCACCCACACATCCCCCTTCAAAAAACCCCCCAAACCAGCCTGGCCTTGTGTTGATTTTGATGAGTTTTATTGGGAATATGGACACTAGGTGGTGCCATAGTGTACAGAGGGCTTGGTCTGGAGTCAGGAAGACATCTCCTGAGTTTAAATCTGGCCTGAGACACTAGCTGTGGGACCCTGGGCAAGTCACTTCAGCCTTTTTGCCTCAGTTTCCTCATCTGTAAAAATGAGCTGGAGAAGAAATGGTAAACTGCTTCCGTATCTTTGCCAAGAGAACCCCAAAATGAGGTCATGAAGAATTAGATAAGATTAAAAAATAACAACAAATATTTAGGGATTTATTTTCTCTTCTAGATTGAATATAAGCTCCTTGAGCCTGTGTGAGCAGTAGCAAGAAGGCCAATCCCACTGGTTTCTAGTATGTGTGGCATAGATAGGAGACTACATAGTGCAGTGGGTAGAGTGCTGTACCCAGAGTCAGAGAAACCTGGGCAAGAACATGGGCAAGTAATAGGCTGTTGAATTGTTTCAGTTGTGGCCAACTCTTTGTGACCTCATGTGGAGGGGTCCCTCTGGCAGGGAAGGCTTCCTAGAAGAGTCGGGGTGGGAAGGGGCTAGCCAATCTGATCCAGAAGCATTGTGTAAAAGCTGAGAGAGGTCAAAGAGCCCTGGGGGCCAGGGTGTTCAGGAAAGACTTCTAGAAAGGAGAAATCTGACCCAGACTTTGAATGACACAGGAAATTGTCAAGGTCAGTGGAAAAATTCCTATATTGCTTCGGGAACCATAGGGTGGCTAAGTGGAGCACTGTGGTGCCTGGAGTCAGGAAGTTCCATTTTCCTAAATTCAAATCTGGCCTCAGACACTTACTAGCTATGTAACCCTGGGTAAGTTACTTAACCCTATTTGCCTCAGTTGCCTTATCTGTAAAATGAATTGGAGAAGGAAATGGCAAATCACTAAAGTGTCTTTGCCATTTTGCGGCTAAGTTTTGTCAATCGGTCATTTTAGTAGTGTCTCACTCTTTGTGACCAAGGGGGTGAAGATGAGTCTGAGGTGACTGAAATGACTGAATTAGAAAGTTTGGGAACTATGCCCTGAAGAGAGGCCAATCTTAGGCTGTGCCACAGTTTAGGCGGAAAATTGATGAGCTGGAGAAGATGCTGATGAAAACCAGCAGGACCTTGAATCTGGTCTGATACAAACTCCTCTCTTTGGTGTTTCAAACCTTCATAACCAGGCTTGCAACTCCCTTCCCAGCATTGTTACTCATGAGCACAGCAGGATCAGAAATGGAGAGCTGGAATAGCCCTCTCAGACGCCATCCCTCAGTTCACATGTGAGGAAACTGAGACCCACAGAACAGAAGTAACTCACCCATGATCATTCAGCTAGTAGCAAGTAGTATGGGTGGGATTTAATCATTGCTCTAAACTGGGAGGGGCCTCAGAGATCATTTAGTCCAACTGTCCTCACTTTACAGATGAGAAAACTGAGGCTTGGGGAGCTTAAGTGACTTACCCATGGTCACACAAGTGGTAAGTTTCAGTAATAGCATTTGAGGTCAGCCTGAATCCAGCCCGCTTCCCACTGGACTATGTGGTCCCCTATCTGTACTATGCATGCTAGAGCCCAGCAGAATTGACTTTGCTGCTGATGCCCACATAGCATACTGTACTCCCCCACTCCACCCGCCACCCCTGACTCTATTTCTGTCCTGCTCTCCCTACTCACCTCCAGCTTTTAGAATCTCCAGCTTCCTCCAAAGCTCAGCTCAATTGCCACTGTCTACATGAGGCGTTCCTGATCATTCACACTGCCCCAAGTGATTCACCTATCAATTACTTGGTATTAAATAAACAATAGTTAGTAGTATTTGAATAAGGCTTGAAGGTTTGCAATGTATTTACAAATATCCCGTTTGATCCTCCCCAAAACCTTGAGAGGTGTGTACTCTTTTTACGCCCATTTATAGATGTGGAATTTGAGGCCAACAGAGACAGAGGTTAAGTGACTTGCCCAGGGTCACACAGCCACTGCATGTCTAAGGCAGGATTTGCACTCAGATTTTCTTGAAGCCAGATCCAGCACTCTATCATTGGGCCACTAGCTGTATATGTTTGATATGTATGCATATGGACACATGTTTCTCAGGATAGAATGGAAGCCTCTGGAGGGCAGGGATTGCTTTGGTTGTTTTTGTTTTGTTTTGTTTGGCTTTCTGTTTTTATTTTATCTCTAGTGCCTAGAAGAACCCCTGCAGAGAGTGGGCTGTTAAATACTTCTTAGCTGTTTGGTTGATCTATAGAACCAGGCATATTTAGCCCAGAGAAGAAAAGGCTTCATGTAGTACTTTTGAACTCTCTTCCAGGACTTGGAAGAATGTCATGTAGACAAGAACCACTCTTGTTCTCGTTGAACCCAGAGGGCAGAACCAGGAGCAATGAGGTGCCCAGGGCAGAACAAGGGTCCTGTCAATGAGAGCTGCCCCAGAGTGGAAGCTGCCTGGGGAGGTAGTGAGCATCCCATCCTGGGAGGTCTAACAGCAGAAGCTGGAGGATGACATCTCATTGAGGATGTAGGGAAGACTCCTCTTCAGGTATGGGTTCCACTAACTATACTCTGGGTGTCTTCCGATGCTAAAATTCTGTGAGTCACCCTCTCTCACTGCTAGGCCTTTATGAATAGCTTCTCTCGGGCTGTGGCCTTGGAATACCAGTCCTCTGGAGTTATCATACAGGTTTGGGTGTGGGTGTCAGTGTGAATGTGCTTGTGTGATTGTTAGGGCCTGAAGAGATGGATGGGAAAGTCTGTGAGGAGCTCAGAGATGGGGGAGAGCTTGGGAAGAGGGCAAGGGGGCCAAGGTAAGTGGGATTGGTGAGAGGCAGTAGGTTTGGTGAGGTAGCAGGAGGGTGGAGGCAAAGATGGGTGACCAGCTAAAGGGGAGGAAGCTTTTGGGAAGTGGGTAGAGTGAGAGCTATGACCCTTCCATCTAGTCATCAACTTCTTTCTCCAGACTCTTACTCCTCTGGTAGTTTCCTGCAACATGAGCCAGATGCCACCCATAAAATGCTTGGTGAAGTCTTCAGATGACTTTGTCAGAGAAGCCTTGGATACCGTAGGCGTCTCTAACTTCACCTGGGGGTGTCTCCTACACTCTGTCCACGTAAGTGACTGGGGTGCCCATTGGGTTGAACTAATAGGGAAGGTGTCCAGACCAACTCCTGGCTTGAGGGCATGGCTAAGGAGGGAAGGAAGGATACTCTTACACGGCAGGAACTCTGCCAATCCCTTTACAAAGATCTCATATGATCCTCACAACAACACTGCCAATATAGGTGCTATTATTATCCTCATTTTCCCATTGAGGAAACTGAGTCAGACAGATGTTCAGTGACTTGTGTGGGGTCACACAGGCTGGATTTGAACTCAGGTATTCCAGACTCCAGGTTCAGTGCTCTAGCCATTATACCCTACGTGCACAGAGCTAGGTAGAATGTGGATCTTTGGGGTGTGTGGGTGTGTGTATTGGAGTGAGGGGGGATAATGGGTTTTTCTGAGGAAGAGCAATGGGGTTGTGGAAAGAATGGGAGGCATGAATGAAGTCAGATGTCTGCCCCAGGTGTAGTGTGATGGAGAGAACATTGGATTAGGATTCAAAAGACCTGGGCTGAAATCCTAGCCTTGCCATGTACTGGGCCCTCATCAGTCACCTTACCCAGGGTTTGCCTGGTCCGTAGGAAAGAGTACTGGATTAGGAAATTCCAGTCCTGCCTGTGAGGGCTTGAGGAAGGCACTGAATATCTCTGAGACTCAGATTCCTCATCTGTACAATGAGGTGGATGTCTCAGGGACCTCCCTTCCAGCTCTAAATCTGTGATTCTAAGACCTAAATCTCCAGAATTCAGTTTTTTTTCCACTTGTGAACTGAGAGTGGCTGTGATCAGGTGATCTCCATGGTCCCTCACAGCTCTGAGTCCTCCTTTTGGAGAAGATGAGCTCCTGGACCTGTGATTTCATAGGAGGTAGGGAACTCCTGGTGAGGACACTCCCTCTCCCAATGCAGCTTGTCTGCAGTCTAGAGTTGTTCAGTTGTCTGGGGCACTGAGAGGGTGCCACAGTCTGTCAGTATCAATGCTGGCCCATTGGCACCTTAGCTTCTCAGCCACATAGCTTTTGGAGGGCTGAGATATTCTGAGAAAGTCATCAGAGCAACCCCCCTCCTCCCTGTATCTCATACTGAGTCTTCAGGCCTTGAAGGAAATGCCTCCCACCTGATTTACAGATTGGAACCCATTCCCAGGTGCCAGTTGTCATACTGCTAGATAGGTCAATGGGAACTCACTTATCCAAAGCCCATCTGACCAATGCCCAAGACCTTGCCTTTATCTGGGGGGCGGGCTACTTTAGTTATAGGGCACATGACTCTCTAGAACTCGGTTGTCAGGAACCCAGCCAGTTCTATAAAATTCAACGATGCAGGATGTAGTTACCTAGAACCCACTGTGGGTAAACTTTGATGTTTAGGGCTCTTATCAACAGCCTAGAGTGCAGGTATCTGGAACTTGGTGGCTACAAGTCAACTCAGAAGAACTCTGTCCTTCCATATTGAGGTCACTGGTCCTTAGTTATTTGATATGTTGTTCTCTAGAAGTCGTTGGTCTAGAACAAAATCAAGAATGTCACAAGATCCCCAAAAAGAAACACCCTAGCTCCAAAATGTGTGCATGTGCATGCAAGCTTCTTCATCTTCTTCAAGAAGAACCCACTGGGTATTTACTCTAAACCTATTGGCTCTTATTCAACACAAAATTCTTATAACCTTGGTGCTCTGGTACTCTAAGTCCAAAGAAGATTAGAATTAGCAGATTGGCGATGCATGGACCACCTTCCCCCGATCCCCAGAAGGGGATGAACTCAGAGTGCATGACAAGATGTAAGGTTTAGGACATGGCTAGTGTGGGATTTTTCTCCACTTGAGTAGGCATACTGATTGTAAGGGCATTTTTTCCTCCCTTTTTAAACAGGAAAAGTGGGAAGGAGAGTTAATAGATTTAATTCAATTTTTTAAAAAAGGTTGGAATGATACATGGAGTTAACTAGAGAAGGGCAGGGTGACTGATGGAATTAAGTGATTGGAGCAAAAGACAGAAATACAAAAGGCAACAATAAGGTTGGTTCCTGAATGCTGACTTCTTAGAGATTAGGACATTAGATAAATGGGCTCTGGATAGGTGAGTTCCCATGGATATATCTAATATTAGGATGATGAACTGACTGCTAAGGAGTTTATGACTTGGTCTAGAGTTTGCCCAAGGAAGCAGAGAAATGGGTGAGCTTATTTTTTTTAAAAAGGAAATTGGGGTTAAGTGACTTGTTCAGGGTGACACAACTAGTAAGATCTGGAGTCACATTTGAACTCAGGTCCTCCTGACTCCACTGTCTATGTTCTCTTCACTGTGCCACCTAGCTGCCCCAGTGAGCCAGTTTAGAAAAGTTTACCAAATGTTGTTTTTATTTTTAAAGGAAACATATTTTTTTTATCATATACTCATAGACTATAGTTCTGGCAAGTATCTGCATGACCATTTTGAATGCAGTTGCTTCATTTTACAGAATATGAAGCTGAAACCCAGAAAGGGTATGAGTCAGCCATGTAATGGGGTTCCCAAAAAAGCTGATATTGAACCATGTAAAGTGGGGCAGTAGCTTCCAGGTACAAGGAGGTGGTAGTCCCAAATACTTCATGAGGAGGCCTGTGTTCAGTCCTGGGCACTATGGTTTAAGAAGGACATTAATGGGATGGAAAATTTCCAGTGGTGGGAAACCAGGACGATGAAGGGCTTCGCATGCAGATTTTACCATCAGCTGAGGGAACTGGTGGTACAGAATCTGGAGGAGACACAAGAGGATCATGATGGCTGTTTTGCAGTACTTGCATGTAGGGAGGGAATTAGCTATGTTCTTTGGCCTCAGAGGGCAGACCTGGGAGCAGAGGGGCTGGCGGTGGGGTGGGGCAAGGAGAAGAAGGGACTGAAAAGTGGCCAGTTTTGGCTTGAAATCAAGACAAACTTCCTGAGGATAAGAGCCATCCCAAAGGTCAACGGGTTGCCTTGAGAGGCGAGTTCCCCTTCCTTGGAAGTCTTGAGGCTGAGGCTGGAGAAGCATGTGCTGTGTCTTCTAGTGAAGATTCTGTTCCTGTATGGGATGGATTCAATGGCCTCCTGGGTAGACTAGAACCCTCGGGCCGTCTGACTCTTTCCCCTTCACAGAACTGTGCACCCGAGTCCCAGGGTTCTCGAGCACATAGGCTGAATTCTACTCATCCTGTACCTGCTGTGTGCAAAGCCTTGAAGTGAACAGACTGTACTCTACAGCATGTCAGATAATACCAAAGCGTTAGAAACAGTAGGGATATAATTTATACAATGTTAAATGAGGTTGATACTGTATATGCCAAAGGCTGCCTCCCAGACAGGTATTTGTTAGCAACATGAAGATTAGAACACAAGGTAACCTTTCTTAATTCATACATCATAGATACATGGGGGCCGCTAGGTGGAGCTGCGTGGGGTAGATCTCTGGGACTGGAGTCGGAAAGACTCATCTTTCTGAGTTCAAATTCAGCCTCAGACTCTTTCTAGGTTTGTGATTCTGCGCAAGTCATTTAACCCTGTTTGCCTCCGTTTCCTCATCTGGAGAAGGAAATGGCAAACCCCAAATGGGGTTACGATTTGGACACAATTGGAGAACAAATGAATAGATGAGAGGAAGGGGAGGAAGCATTTCTATAACATCCACTATGTGCTAAGTGCTTTACAAATATCTCATTTGATTCTCACGCCAACCCTGGGACGGAGGTGCTATTATTATCCGCATTTTACAGTTGGGGAAACTCTGGCAGATTGAGGTTAAGTGACTTGCCCAGGGTTCCGTAGTTAGTAAGTGTTTGAGACCAGATTTGATTTCAGGTCTTCCTTCCTTCCTTCCTTCCTTCCTTCCTTCCTTCCTTCCTTCCTTCCTTCCTTCCTTCCTTCCTTCCTTCCTTCCTTCCTGTATTTCTTTCTGTCTCTCTCTCTCTCTCTCTCTCTTTCTTCCTTCCTTCCTTCCTTCCTTCCTTCCTTCCTTCCTTCCTTCCTTCCTTCCTTTCTTCCTTCCTTCCTTCCTTCCTTTTCTTTCTTTCTTTCTTTCTTTCTTCTTTCTTTCTTTCTTTCTTTCTTTCTTTCTTTCTTTCTTTCTTTCTTTCTTTCTGTCTTGCTTTCTTTCTTTCTTTCTTTCTGTCTTGCTTTCTTTCTTTCTTTCTTTCTGTCTTGCTTTCTTTCTGTCTTTCCTTCTCTCTCTCTCTCTCTCTCTCTCTCTCTCTCTCTCTGTCTCTCTCTCTGTCTCTCTCTCTTTCTTTCTTTCTTTCTTTCTTTCTTTCTTTCTTTCTTTCTTTCTTTCTTTCTTTCTTTCCTTCTATCTTTTTAAGGCACTTGGGGTTAATCGACTTCCCCACGGTCACACAACGTAAGTGTCAAGTGTTTGGTCTCAGACCAGATTTGAACTCAGGTCCTTTTGATTTCAGACACTGTGCCACCTAGCTGCCCTAAATTCAGGTCTTTCTAACTCCAAGCCCAGCACTCTATGCACTGCATTACCAGCTGCCTCATCCTCAGCATTCTCTGCCCCCTGAGGCTCCACCTTCTCATCAATTGGTTCCTTCCACAACTTCCATTGTAAGGGGAAGGCCTAGGCAAGAGTTATTTTCAGCCCTCTCCAGGCTGCACTGCAGTCATCTGCATAGAACTTCCCCTACCTTTTCTCTTCCCCTTCTTTAGCTTCTTTTTAGCACTCCATTAGAAGCAAAGCTTCTTGAGCTAGGGATTGTCTTTGTTTCTGCTTGTATTTGTGTTTCCAGCACTTAGCACAATACCTGGCACATAGTAAGGTCTTAATAAATGCTTACTGGCTGACTAGCAGTATAATGTATAGCAGTCATGTGGAAGAATCTTGGACTATCAGAGGTGGAAGGAACACCTGAGAATAGAGAATATCAGAAGTATAAGGGACCTTAGAACAGAGAATGCAAGAGCTGGGAGGGACTTTGAACATGGAATGTGAGAGCTGGGACGGCTCTTAGAACAGGGAATGTGAGAGTTGAGAGGGCCTTAGAGATCATGTAGTCTAGAGATATCAGAACTCCTGGACAGAAAAACACCAAAATGCTCCCCAGACCACCTTAAAATGTAATTGGGAAATACTTATGAAGGTAAATACAACTGTGCTCCACGGCTAATGTTCCTAAGTCAGCAGTCATCTGCTGGGCTCTGTTTCTCCTGGAGGTGTCTGAGGAGGCCTTGAGGGGGCAGTGCCCCAGGCCCCAGTGCTCTGGGCCTGGGAGCCAGGCTGAGGCCAGGCTGCCTCCTGACCACTGTGCTCCCTCCTTTCCTCAGGGTTTGTTGCTATGGCCCCTGAACTCCAACTTCAAATTCATCATCCCGACTCTGATGTTCTTCTACTCTCTGTTCAATGCATCCAGAAGATCCTGAAGAAGTTGTGGGAAGGAGGGGGGCTCAATTGGAGGCCCTTTGTCGGGGGAGGGGTGATGACTGCTGCTGGTGGTGGGAAGAGGGGGGCAAACAGAGGGGTTTCCTCTGCTTGGCTCATCCCTCTGTCCTGCTTTCTAGGGTCCCTTTGAGGAGAAACCCTAGCCCTGAGAAGCTGTAGCTGTAACTTGTTATAATAAATTGTTTTCCCTTTAGCCAGCTATCTGTCTTATCAATAGCTGCATGTCCCAGCACACTCACTGCCATCCTGGTGCCACCGCAGCCCACACTCGCGCTGGGAGTCCCGGGACTGAACCCCACCTCCACCCCTCAACACTCGCAGGTCTGCTGAGTGGGGCCCAGGAGAGGCAGCCTGACCTCTGTTGCCTATGGACAGCCCTCCAGATACTGAAGGCATCCCAGAGAGCAGAAAGGGCAGGGGTGATGGGGGAGATGCAGGAGGATGCCTCCTCTCCTCCTTCTCCTCCTCCTCCTCCTCCTCCCTCCCTCCCTCCCTCCCTGCCAGCTCCCCACTCTTAGAAGTTGTCACAGACTCCAGGCTAGGGTGGAGGGGAGTTCATACACTGTGAAATTTACAGGCCCCAGGAATTCTGGTTCCCGTCTGGAGCTCAATCCCTTTTTTGCTCTGTAACCCTGGCCAAGTGACTTTCTGTTCCTAGTCTCATTTTCCCTTCTGTAAAATTAGGTGGGAGGGGATGGATTGTGATGAATTTCCCAAATTCCTTGCCAGCCCCTGGGACCAGTCCTCTTATAGTCTTTCTTAAGTCTGACATTCCAGGTCTTGGGTTCAAGCTGGGCCATTGCCCTCCACATGTGCCACTTTCATTTTTCCAATGGCATGGAAGCCAAGGCTCAGAGAGGGGAATGCATTTGACTAAAGTCACTCAGCAAACCCACCCAGGGAGGGGCAGAGGCAGGAAAGGTCTCAAGGCTCTCTGCCTTAGAACAAGCAGAGCGCCTTCGCCTCCTGCCACCCCCCCCCCATGCATGTCACAGCCCTCTCCCCCTGTACCCCTCCCCCCTGCACTTCCCCCACCACCACAGCTCCCTCCCCTCACCCCCCTCTGAACACCTCTAGCTGGAAGCTGGGAGGGGTGGCTCCTAGAGGGCAGAATTCGGCCCTCCCTCTTGGCTGCCTTTAGCTATCTCCCTTCCCCCTCCCCTTGAGGAAGAAAAACAAGGAAAGAAATCAAATTTCTGTCTCCTTCCCAGGGCCTCTGGGGACCCAGCAGGGAGTCACCAAATCCCGGAGTGTCAGGGCAGGAAGGGATCGCAAAGGTCGCCTGGCCAAATACTCTAGACAGATGGGGAAACGGAGACCAAGGGAAGGAGTCGGACCTAGGCCAGGGTCTTATAGTGAGGCAGAGTAGGGGGCAGGGCCCAAGTTCCCACTCCTAGCTCCGGGGCCAAGGGAGCTTGCCCACTTACCCAAGGCCAGAGACTGGGAAGAAGAGATTGGAGAAGGCCCTGCCTTCCCTCCATTGTCTGTAGGACTCCCTGAAACTCCCAGGATGGCGAGGATTGGCCCTGGAAGGCTTCTTAGAAGCAGCCAGTGTGGCAGCTCAGGTGTGGCAGGGTGTGTGAGGAGTTCAGCTGAGACCAGATGCCCCTTTTCACAAGCACCGAGTTCAAATCCTGCTTCTAACACTGATTAACTTTGTGACCTTGGACAACTCCCTAAGGGGACTGGTTTTCTTTATCAGTAAAAGGGCGTTGGCCATCTGGCCTCTGAGATCCCTTTCAGCTCTAAATCTTATCCTATAAACTCCTAGATATCTGAAACCTTTGAGGGAAGGAGAGGAGTAAGAGGGGAACCACTTCATTTCCTCTTCCCTAGACTGTTCCCTTCTCCTGGTATAGGATGTAAATGAGGTTCCTTCAGAAGGAGAGTCCTATGGAGGGGGACCTAAAGCAGCCAGTGGTAAGGCATAGGGCCATGTTTCCTGCTCAGACTGGGAGTCCTTGGAAGGGAAGGCCAAGCCTTCTTCCTTTTGCAGGGAGATTCTGCTAGCGGAACCTAGCTGCCTTGGGGTTCACACCCCTAACTTCTGGCCCAGCTCGACGTGGGAGAGAGGGCTTGGTGCCCCGACCTTGCCTCAGGGGCCTGCTTGGTGCCTCCCCACTTGCCATCCACCCCCACCTTCCAAAACAGAACTCAGCCTCAGTTGCTCGTTAAATAGAAACATATTTATTTTATCATCATACATTCCTTATTACATGAGCAGCCAGCGCAAGAAGACATTTAGAGGGAAGAGAGATGGAGGCTGGGCAGAGCAAGGCACAGCCTCCATTACTTCTATGGGACCTACCCTAACTCCGGAGCAGCCCTGGCTCCCAGCTCTGCCACTGGCTTGCTGTGTGACCTAGGGAGAAGTCCCTTTCCTCACTCTTGAGCCTCAGTTCTCCTGTCTCTAACATGAGGGAATAAAACTCCATGATCTGATGTATCTTCCCACCCTGATAGTCCATGCACTCAGTGTAGTGGCTGGCACGTAGTAGGTGCTTAATAAATGTTTATTGATTGATTATTGATCTAGGTCCTAACTTTCTAACGTTCACTTTCTATGTTTTGAGGTGCCTCCCAGCACTGACCTTCTCTGTTCTAAGTTTCCTCCCAATTCTGACATTTGGTGTTCTAAAAGTTCTCCCAGTTCTGATGGTCCATGTTCTAAAGGCCCTTCCAGCTCCAATATTCCACTTTCCTAGAGTTCTTCTAGCTATGACATTCTGTTCTGAGGACTCTCCCAGCTCTGACATCGCTTACTCTATGACCTGGTTTGAAACCCAGGGACTGAATCCATCCTTGGGGTCAGAATCTTTCTCAGCAGCAGATGTTAGGGGAAAGGGAGAAGACATAGGCTTCCAGGCTGGGACAGCAGTATCACAGGCAGGTTGTAGAATTCCAGGTGTGCTCAGGGCTGGGCATGAGGCAGAGCAGGGTGCCGAGGGCAGTGGCTGGGCAGGCAGGCAAGATCAGGCCTAGTGAGTCGGGCAAGAGGGAGGTGGAGGCTCAGACAGAAAGGTGGCCAAGGGATAGGAATGTCAGCAGAAAAAACTCAGTCCCTGGGAAGGGCAGGAGTCCCTTTCTCACTCTGCTCCAGGCCCCGAGACACAGCCAATAACTCATAATGAGCTGCTGCACCCTGGAGAGCCCTCACATCTAAGAGGGCAGCCACATGCTTCCTCCTTGGGAGAGATGAGGGGATATCATTGAGGTCTCAGAATCCTCACCATCCAACCCAGGTCCAGAACAATCATTCTATCCAGATATGGGGCTTGGAACTCTCCCAAAGGCAGTTCTAGAACCCAGAGACTCATATCGAGAACCCACATTCTTTCTCCAACTGTTTCTGGGGTTGACACCCCCAGCTTAATTCTCACCCTAGTTCAATCCCAGAGCCCTACCCCTAAACATATCTAGAGCCAATATTCTCCCCAAGTGCTGCAGGCTAGAGCCCATCAAATTCTGTAGTCCTCACCAGCCCAAAAGTCAACTATAGAAACCCCAAACACAGATCCATAACCCTAGGCATGGTCACAACACAGTTCTGGGAGCTTTATTCATATATCCAGCTCCAGAATCAGCCTCCCCCTGAACCAAGTTAATCCTGGAATCCTTATCTCTAGAGCCCAGAAGCCAGAGCTAGAACCCCCAGCTCTGAAACCCACCCAGAACAGGCCCCTGCAATACATCTCCACATACTGCACCAGGGGCCTTTGGTGCAGCTCCCCCACCAGGGCATAGGCACATATCAGAGTGAGTACTAAGGGGAGACACAGTGATGTGGGGCAGGGGAGAGAGATTATCAGGACAGAAGGAAGGAGAAAGATGGGGGGATATTGGAGGGGCACAGAGGGGGATAAAGATGAGACGAAATGATGGGACGTTACAGGGAAAGAGATGGGGAGACAGTAGGACAAAGGAGATGGGAAAATGAGAACAGGAAGAGATGTAAGGGGAGAGATTGGGTGATGGAAATGGGAGAGATATAAGGGAGATAGAGAGGAGGAGATATTTCAGAGATGGAGAAGGGCATGAGAGAGAGGAAATGTTGGGGGAGAGGGTGGGGAGGGGAAAGGAGAAGGAGAGGAAGAAGAAGAAGGAGGAGGAGGAGGAGAGGAGAAAGGAGAGAGTGAGAGAAGAGGAAGAAGAAGAAGAAGAGGAGGAGGAGGAGGAGAGAAAGAGGAGAGGAGAAAGAGGAGGCAAAGTGGGGGGAGGGAGGGAGGAGAGGGAGGAGGAGAAAGACAGAGAGAGAGAGAGAGAGAGAGAGAGAGAGAGAGAGAGAGAGAGAGAGAGAGACGGAGGGAGGATAGATATGGGGGGAGATTGGGTTAGACTAGTCACAGAGACCCAATTTTGGAAGAAGAGGAGAAGGGAGGAAGGGCAAAGGCACTAGGAGAAGAGGGGGATCCTTTGCCTCTTCAATTTTCTACCTTTCTCCCTGTCCATTTCCCAACCATCCACTCCCTCCCACCTGTGGACATGTCCATTCATACCTGGTAAGGCTGGTCATGCATTCTTCTGAGGGCCAAGGTCTGAGCTCCCAGGGTCCCTACAATGTCATCCAGAGCCTCAGAGATGGTCAGCTGCTTGTGACACATCACTTTGGAGAAATGGGGCTGGAATTGTCCAGAGAACGGAGAGATCAGAGTTCATCTGACTCAGAGCTCCCTTCAGGTCCCACCCAGGCCACTGAGTCCATAGGTAGAAGAACCAGGAATTCTGCCCCCTTCCAGCCTTAATGGGGGATCCCAGAGCCCATCACTGTCTTCATGAGGATGGGAGGGGTTGAGCACACACATGTAGCCAAAGCTGAAGCTCACCTAATTCATGCCCACCCATTCCACACAGAGTCCTACAAGGTCAAATCCATCCTGGAGCAGCAGGCCCAGGCACAGCCACAGGCCTCCATATTCCTGAGTATAGCAGTCAATACGCACCGGCAGCCTATGGGAGCTTCGGCCCAGACCCAGATTCTGCCCCCCCCTCCCCAAGCTGGGCCCTCTGTGTAAACATATCTCCTCCCTCCATTCTGCTCCCTCCCCTTTCTTTCCTCTCTTTCTTTGTCTTAGTCCAGTCTCTGGCTCGGCTGGACCTCGGCCTGATCCTAATGTGACCCTTGTCACAACCCCCAGGTCACCATTTTCTAGTCAGTTTGGGAGGGGGGCCAGAGGCTTCCTGAGACTGACCTGCAGTTCTTCAAAGAGCAGGTCAGCCAGGACGCGGTGGGAGAGGTGGGTGACATGGTCAAGAGCATTTGCAGCTGCCTCCCAAGCAGGCTCGCTCTCTGAGGGCCCCAGGTGGGACAGGCGCTCAGCTAGGGAGCTGTGGAGGAGAAACCAGGGCCCATCACTAGGTGGCCTTGGGTACCAGCTGGCTCCCTCGAAGTATTGGGTGGGCAGGCAGGCAGGAAGGGAAGTGTATCTCTCCACATTTGGAGGACGGGTTTCTGTGTCTTTGGACACTGTATCTCAGTGGTGGGCAGGTGGCATGGCTTTGGTCTCTGTGAGAGGTCTCTCCATATCTCTGATGGGAGGATGTCTCTGTCCTTGGAGGAATCTCTCTTTCTCTGGGTAGGCTTTCTAGTGGAGTTTCTCTGTCTCTGGAGTTCTCTTTGTGTGTCTGAGGGTCACTCTGTCTCTGGAGAGGTTTCTCTCAGAGAGTGGGGAGGAGTCTCTTTTGAAGTCTGTGTTCCTGAGGAGGATGTCTCTGTGTCTCTGGGAAGGATGTTTTTCTTGAGGTCAGAATGGGCGTCCCTTTCCATGTTTCCAGAAAAGGTATAGAGGGGCCCTTTCTGTGGCCCTTTTTCAGGGTGATAGATTTGGGGACAGGAAGGAAAGGACCTCAGAACATCTGGGATAGGGGCCGACTCCCCAATGACAAGTTGGGTCAACTCCCCATGGGGAGAACATTAGGTCATGCTGGGGCCCTTCTCTCCGTCCTCTCTAGGGTCTGGCTTACCGAAGAGGGGGGCCACAGCTCACTAAGGTAATTGTCTGACTGATATAAGTGTCACACGGCAGCCCTCGGATGCTTGGGTTCTCATGGAAGCTCTCTACCCACTGCTGGAAGCTGGAAGGTCAAGAGATGGAAGGAGAAGCTCATGTCAGGTGTCTCCTTTGCAGCCCACCCCTCCAGTTCTGAGCTCACTTCCTCCAGGAAGCCCTCCAGGTTTCACTCTCCCTCCTCTTTTGTCATTTTCTCACCTCCCACTCACTTCTCCACCCTCAGGCAATCTGATTTCCATCTTCACCACCTGATTGAAAGTGCCCTCTTCTGAGCCACCAGGAATTTCTCTCTTGCTAAATCCAATAACCTTTTCTCACTCTTCCTCCATCTCTCTGCTGCTTTGGACCCAGCCTATCGTCCTCTCCTCTGCATACTCTCTCCTCTAGGTTTTCAGGATGCAGTTCTCCCACCTGCTCCTCCTTCCACCTGAGAATAACTTGGCTGATCCCACTTCCCACCTTCCCTGCTCCCCCTAGCTAGGTGTCCCCCAGATAATAACCTCATTGCAAGGGCTCAGTGATCATCCCACATCCGAGATGACTCCCATATGTGGCCCACATTTGTCTGTCAAGCTCCGGGCTCACATCACCACTGTCTGCTGGACATTTCCATCTGGATGTCCCATAGCTGAGAATCCTAATAGAACCCATGATCTTTCCTCTCCAACCTACCCCTCCTCCTAAACCTCCCATTTCTACAATCTGTGCCTTGTATCCCCAGAGCCTGGGACAGTACCTGATACATAGCCCAGCTTCTGCAGGAAGTCCCTTCCCGACCCCATCCCACCTCTTCCCTCTGAGAGCACTTTCCATCTGTTTAGCATACATTTGTGCGTGCAACATTATTGGCTTGCTGTCTTCCAGATCGGAATATAAGCTCCCTGATGGCAAGAATTGGGAAGTGTTTGGGTTTTTCGAGTTTTTTTTTTTTGTATTCCCAGCCACTGGTCTGGTGCCTGGCTCAGTCATTCAATATATGCCTGGGCCACGACGTGAGCGCCACGGTGCATGGTGTATACTGGCAAGCTGGCCTCGATGTAGCCGGCCTGGCAGCCCATGGGCTTGGCGGCTGCCCACAGCATCCGCCTGGCTGGCAGCGACCTCTGCGCCCTGGCCGAGCACCTGGACATTGCAGCCAGCTTCTGCCTGCTGCCTGACATCCAATCTCCTGCTGAGCCAGACCCTAGCCCCTGGGCATAGTGAAGGAGCAGCGTTCCTCACCTGTGTCCCACCCCCACTGTGGTTCCCAAGGTCTTGTGTCCTTTGATGGCTCCTCTGGGAAGGTTTGGTAGAGGCCATCTCAGTGCTCCTAGATCTCGGTTCCAGGGGCCCTCCACTGGGTTGGGGGATGGGAAGGGCCTGTAAGCTGGAAGCTGCCTCACCCTCTATACTCTCACCACGTTTCAATAAAGTCTTTGGAAAGAGATGGCCGAGTGTTCTTGGGATGGAGGGATACAGTGGGAGGAGAGGGCACAGAGCACAGTCCCCAAAATCCCTGCCCATCATGTACAACCAATGCTGGTCACCAGGCATCGCTGTGGTTCCTTCCAGGATGCCAGGGTTCCTCCATGCCAGGTCTTAGGCTGGCCGGCCCCGCCCCGTTACCATTCCACCTGGGCGTTCCACCAGTCCTTCATTGCCAGGTGACCCCTCCCCCCTCAGACCTTAGGACCTGGGTGATCCTGTGGCCTTTCATCCTCTGGATTCTGTAGAGCTGAGCCTGCCCCTCACCAAGGCTGTCCTGAAGAACCTCCAGGTTGTCCTGTCCAGAATGGGGTCGTGGATGGAACTAGGTGGCTCAGCCTTCCAAATGCTAGGCACGGTGGCTGCAGCCTGGTGGCTTCTGCGGGTGGCCTGGTGGCTGGGCCATGCCCTGCTGGTCTATGGGCTACCCCAGGTTGGCCTGGGCCTTGGCATTTCTCTCAGGAAGCAAGGGGCCTGGGCAGGTGTGTGGGAGAAGGAGGGAGGAAAGGGGCCCAAGGGGGAGGGAAGGGGCAAGGGCTCTGATATAGGGGCCTGTCACCTGCTTCCTCAGAAGAGTCTGTGCACCATGGATGGAGGCCTCCAGGACCTGGATTCAAAATTCGTCAAGCTGCTTTGGACCCCATATGACCCCCCTGGGCAAGTCACTTCTGCTCTGGGCTTCACATTCCTTGTTTGTAAAATAAGTGTCTGACCAGGGGCCCAAGGTCTTCTGAACCTTGAATCTGATTGTGACATGGGTAATCCCCAGGAGGGCTTAGACTCGGGTGGCTTTTTGTTTTTGTAGTTTTTAACACTGGGGGCAGCTGCACTAAATGATTTCCAGAGTCTGGGAGGCTTTACATCTGAGATCCTCTGATCTGTATTGCATATGTATGGTGCTCCATTAGGACGCTAGGGCTGCAGGCCCCTGCTGCACGTTTCCCTTGTGCAGACTCATTTCCAGTTGAGTTCCACTGCAGAAACAGCTTAAAGTCCTTTTCAATTGCCTGGGCCAGGAGTAGAACTCAGAAGGAGGAGGTGGAGAAGAGGCTCTCTCCTGCCCCTTCCTGGGATCTCCCATTGGGTGGGTCCTCCAGAGGGTTCCCCCCAGACTCCAGCTCTCTCTTCTCACAGTGGTAACCGGGGCCACAAGTGGAATCGGCAGGAGCTATGCTCATGAGGTAAGTGGGGGCCTGGGCCAACTGAATCTGTCTTTAGTATACCTGGACATGGCCCCACATCTATTCCATTGCATTCCACATACATGGTCCCATGCATTCGGTGTTTTTCCATATGCTTTCTTCTATGTGCCCTGATCATTTTCTAGAGCCTCAGGACATGTGTTTGCAGGGGGATTCCTGTGTAAATACATATAAATGTAGTAATTAATGTTACATGTGAATGTATATACATAAATAGATACACACATACACAAAGATGAATAGATAATAGAAAGAGAAGTAGATAGGATAGATACAAAGACAGACAGACAAGTAAATCCATATTTGTCCTGAGTGTTTCTGCTCAGGGGTTCCTATGAATTCCCCACATCCTTCTTTGTCCTATGCACGCCTGCTTATTTGGATGGACCCTCTTGGTCTTCTGTAGGTTTGGGAGGTTCTGTGTGCCCACTCACTCAGTCTCCCATTCTCCTGTCTCCATACAGCTGGCCCGAAGAGGCCTCAACGTTGTACTGGTGAGCCGAGATCTCAGCAAGTTACGTCGGGAGGCAGAGGACATTGGTGAGGTCCGGACTAGAAAGGAGGGCCATGGGAGAGAAGTGAGGCTGGTCAAGGTTCCACAGTGGGATTTGGAACCCAAAGACGCAGGTTGGACACAGCTCTGCTAGACACGGGCTGTGTGTGAGCCTGAGCCAGTCAGTCCCATGTGTTCTCTGGGCCTTTCCTCATCTATATAATAAGGAGCAGCATTAAGCTTCTGTTTCTGAATTCTCTGAGTTTTCCTACAGAGAGACTCCATGGTAAGGAAACAAGAGTCATCCAGGTGGACTTCAGTGGAGGCTTAGAGATCTATGAGACAGTTGAGAGAGGCTTGGAGGGCCTAGACATCGGCATTCTAGGTACACACCCATTCCTCTTCCCTTCTCAGTCCTGCCCCCAGAATTCCTCTCCATCCCCTTGCTCTGTGGTACTGACCTGTTTTTTTCCAGTGAACAATGTTGGAGTAGCTCCCAAGATAATCCCCCAGAAGCTAATGGATGTGAAGAATGCAGGCAAGGTAGAGGAAGCTACATTATCCCCACCCCCCCGCCCAACTCATGCCCTTTTCCATTTCTCTCCATTTTTCCATCTCTTCTTCTCCCCTCCCTAACCCTGCCCTCTTTATCTGCCCCTTCCTTCATTGCCCCATCTTCCCTCCTATCTCACCACTCGCACCTGCCCAACCTTTCCAACAGGCAGAAAGTGCTTTCTAAATTTAAATCAGGTGAGAAATGTGAGCTCCCCTTGCTTTTGTGGCCATAAGAATAATCAATGTTGAGAAAATGTTGCCTTAAAATTGACAATTTGTTCCAGTTTCAAGTCTATTTGTCTTTCTATGTATTTACAAATGTGGTTTGATTTGTTTTAATTGGGCCTTGGGTCAAGCTTGGGGGGAGGGATTTGAGTGCTTAGGGAAATTTTCCTAGAGGAGATGGAACTTGATGGGGAGGAGGCGGGGGGGGAGCCTTGAAGGTTGAGAAAGACAATAATGTCTCAGCAAACTCCAACCTGAGAATTCATGGCCAGGTTGCTTTAGGGGGAAGTGAGAGACTCTGGGGCCCATGAAAAATGAAAGGTATCCTCTGTCTTCCCAGAGTTTCACAGACATGATGAATTGTAACATGCTGTCAATGGTTCAGGTAAGACTGAGGCAGAAGAGACAGGAAACATCATTGGCAGGGGATGGAAGGGAGTGGGGAGGGATATGGGGAGAATTCAGCAGTATGCCAAAGGTGGATCATTGGGTAGATTTAGCCTTTGCTTCTTCCTCCACAGATGACCCGGATCATCCTGCCTCAGATGGTAGCCAGGTAGGGGCCCAGGCATCCCTTTCTCCCCATCTCTAGAGCCTGCCTTCCCCTCCATACAGACCTCCTGGCCTATCTCACACACACCCCCCCCCTGAGACACTCATTTACCTTTCATTTGGCCATTCTCAGTTTTCTTCTCCAACTCTGCAGGGGACGAGGAGTCATCATCAACATATCCTCTATGGCTGGCAGACAGCCTTCCCCATTCTTGGCATTATATGGGGCTACTAAGGTAAATGGGTCCCAGACCCTTTCAAGTTACCAGGAAGAAGAAAGAGGTTCAGAGATGGGGATGGAATGAACAGAGTGTCCCATGTGGAGCTGAGAGCAGTGGGTGGTGGGAGTGCCCCCTCTACCCCTGATTCCCTCAAAGTCATTGGGCAACCAGCTCTCTCAGTTTCAGTTCTAGTGTATATAAAACCAGAGAGTAGATACTAAGCCCTTCACCCCTATTCACCCACTACCATGGGTTCAGTAATTTCATAATGGGGGCCTCACAGAGTAATAAAATGAAACCAGCCAAAGTCTGAGTGCCCCTTACCAAGTGCGGCCCCAGGAGCCTCCTTGGACATAGCAATGGAAGCTGAGGTTCACTTTTGCCTTTTGGCACTGACAAAGCTTGCCACATGAGGGAAGGACAGAGAGTTCATTAAGCAAATATTAATCTCTCAGTTCTGTGATAAGCACTGGGGATATTGCTACAAGCAAAATAAACAATCCTTGCCCTAGGCTTGGGGAATGGCGGGGGGTCATCATTTTGAAATCCAGAAAGTCCTGAGTAAGGCCAGGAGAGGAATAAAAGGGAGTCTAGGCATCTCCACCAAAAGGAGACTCCAGCTGGAACTGGCCAGTAAGATCAGGGAAACCCTTGCAGAGGAATATTCCATGGTGAGCAGGCAGCAAGGTTGGAAGGATGCTCTAGAGTGAGGAGGTCCCAGGTCCTGAGGAAAGTGTCTAGAGCAGATAGCAAGAAGAGAAGATTTTGAGGTCCAGAAGTTTAAGAACAGGGCTATGAGGGGAGTGAGATATTTAGGAAGTACAGGAATTATTGGAGGGACTGGGGTGCTTGGCCTAGAAGTGTCTTCAAGCACATGACAGTATGTTGGGTGGAAGAAGCTTTCATTCTGCTGGGACACAGAGGATGCTTTACATTTTTTTAATAGCAATAAGGAGCCGTTAAAAGTTTTCTGAGGAGGACTGATGTAGACAGATCTGTGCATAAGCAAAATGATCCTCACTAAATTTGAAGGATAGATGGGTAGAGAGAAAGAGTGCACCTAGGAACACTGTGAGGAGGCTGTTCTGATGAACTAAACAGGTGGTGGTGAGAGCACAAACCAGTAGTGGCCCTAGAAAGAGAGGAGGGGATAGGAAAGGTACCAGGGATATGGACTCCACAATACCTGGTCACTGACTGGATCTTAGCAGGGGAAAGAGGGAAGGAGCAGAGCTAACCCTAAGGTTCTTATCAGAGGAGAATGGTTGCATGGGGTACTAAGGTCATAAAGAAGCATGGGGTAAAGGAAAAAGGTCGTCTTGGTTCTGGATGTGCTCCAGGTGGAGGCAACGGGCAGGAAGCTCACGGTGAGGCCAGGGCTAAAGGTTGTACTCTGAGAGTCATCAGCTTTGAGGTGTAGTAAAACCATGGGAGGGAAGGGAGATTGGCTCTGTTCCATTCTCTCTTTGGTGTTTACCACATCAAGATCTGTTGAAGGAATGGGTGTGTCTGGCAAGACAGAAGTAACTGCAGGTGAGGGAGATTGTGAGAGCTGTCTCCAAGTATTTGAAGGGCTGTCATATGGAAAAGGGATTCGACTTTTTTGTTGAGGGTAGATCCAGGGATAATGGTAGAAGTTGCAGAGGCAAATCTAGGCTTGGGGCAGCTGGGGCACAGTGGATAGAGCATTAGGCCTGAAGTCAGGAAGACCTGAGTTCATATCTGGCCTCAGACACTGGCTGTGTGACCATGGGCGAGTCACTTAACCCTGTTTGCCTCAGTTTCCTCATCTGTAATAAGCTGGAGAAGGAAGTGGCAAACCACTCCAGTGTCTCTGCCAAGAAAACCCCAAAATGGGCTCATGAAGAGTTGGACATGACTGAAACACTCAATAACAATAAATATAGACATGATATCAAGAAACTTCCTAACTATCAGAGCTTAAAAAAGTAGAATGAGTTTCCTTTCAGGGTAGTAGTTTGCCCCTCACTAAAAGTGGAACTGGGTGACCACTGGTCAGTTGCATTAGAAGGGATTCCTCAGGTGTGGATGGACTAGATGCCTTCTAGATGGCATGCCTTGAGCTTGAGGATTCTGGGATTCTGTAACATCCACATGTTTGTGGAAGCCCTTTCCTCTCTGAGATTCTTTGTTCTGTATCCTAAAGTCCCTCCGGTTCTGGCAGTCTATAATCTAGGTACTTTCCAGCTTTAATGTGTGTTCTAAGTCTCCTCAGCTCTGACAGTCTTGTTCTAGGCTACCATCACTCTCTTACCCTCATCCCACCTGAGCTCTGATATTCCATATTCTAAGGGCCTCTCATGTTTCATGTGCTATTTTCTCAGTTCTGATGTTTTGTGTTCTAAGGACACTATCAAATCTGACATTCCCTTCTTTAAGGACTCTCCCAGCTCACACTTACTCTGCTCTAAAGCCATCCCTAATATTCTCTGTTGAGGCTCCTCCTGCTCTGATATTCTTTATTCTAAGGACCCTTCTGGCTCTGTTATTCTCTGTTCTGGCCTGACATTGCATGTTCTAAGGTCCCTCTTAGTTTTTTTAACCTTGTAAAATTTAATATAAATACACTGTTGTCTTCTTTTAAGTTTGTGTCTTGGTCTTCCTGAACCATAGTCAAGGTTTTTTTTTTTTTTTGTTGTTATTTGTTGTGTGTTCATTTTTCCAGCCTACTTCTTGACTTTAAACTTGACATCAAAGTTGGGTTCTGTTCTTCTGGGGGTAGAGAGGCGCTGTCCAAGCTTTAGGGTTTTTTGTTCTCTGTTTCAGAGCTTGTCGTGAGAGTCTCTAAATTTTCGTTTCTTTCAAGGTGGTATGATCTGGGGAGAGGTGTGGTCACTGCTTTCTTGATCTGCTCTCTGGGCTTGACCCAGGAAGGGCTCCTGCTCCCCTACAGCCACCACTCTGGAACTGTGACCAGGTCCCCAATTCTCCTGCAGCCACAAGCACTACCCTCTCTTTGCCTTGGAACTGTGACCAAGGTCCCTACTCCCTTGTGACTGACCACCAGCACTCCTATCCACTCTAGAACTGCTACCCAGAACTGTGAATGGCCATAGAGTTGCCAATCACCCAGTGCCACCCAAAGGTCCCTTGTAATGTGTTTCTGACATTTGTGCCACCCCCTTACCATCTGTGTGCTGAGAGCTCCAAAGCTGCCACTGTCTGCAATCAGCTGCAAGACCCACCATTGGGTGCCCCTGTCACACTCTGGGCCTTTATCCACCCCGAGGTTCCAGACCTTTCCTGTTGACCTCCTAAGTTGTCTTAAGCTGGAATAATGTCTTCCTGTGACCTTCTGTTGGCTTTGCTGCTCCAAAATTTGATTTGAGGCAATATTTTAAAGTTGTTTGGCAGGAAATGTTGGGAGAGTTCAGCTGGTCCCTGGTCTATAACTCTACTATCTTGACCACTCCCTCCTAGTTCTGGCATGCTATGCTCTAAGGCCTCTGTCCCTCACACACTCTGTTCTAAAGTCCCTCCCAGCTCTGTCATTTCCTATTCTAATGTACCCCTCTCAGTATTCCCTGTTCTAAAATCCTCAATCTGTACATTTCCTCCTCCCAGCTCTAACATTCTCTATTCTGAGCCCTGAGCTGACCCCCAGAGACCTCTCACTCTACCATATCCTTTATCATGAGGCTCCAGAATTCCTTTGGCCAGAAGCCTTTCTTGTCACCCCAGGAAAGGAAACTGTGTCCAAAGGAAGAAGGTGGTCACAGAGTGCCAGCAGGGCTGCAGCAAGACAGGTCTTGCCAAAATAACCTTATCTTCTTTAGGGCAGGTGCAAAACTAGCACAGATCAAGGGATTCAATAGATAGCATTTACCTGGGTCTCACCCAGGTGTTTGATAATATATCTCATGATGTTGTGGAAAAGAGAGAGATGTGGCTAGATGGTAGCTTGATTGAGGCCACTAGGGGCGCCAAGTGCACAGAGTGCTAGGTCTGGAACTCAGAGCCTTACTAGCTATGTGACTCTTGGCAAGTCACTTAATCTCTTTGCCTCAGTGTCTTCACCTGTAAAATGGGGATAATAATATTACCTACCTCCAAGGGTTGTTTTGAGGATCAAATGAGAAGATAATTGTAAAGCACTTAGTGAAATGCCTGAAACATAGTAAGCATAAAAAAATGCTAACTATTGTAAGTATTAAGTGCAGGAGTCTCAAACTAGAATGACCAGATCAAGAGTTAATCATTTATAGTTTGTAATATCAACTTGGAAAGAGGTCTCCTGGAGTGCCAGAAGGATCTGTGCTTGGGCCTTTGCTAAGTGTTTTTTTTAAATCATTGACTTGATGAAGGCACAGATGAAATGTTTATTCAAATATGCAGTGACCCAAAGTTGGGAGGGAAAGGAGAAGGGAATGTGTTTTATAGTGCCCACTATGTGTTAGGCACTGTGCTAAGTACTCTACAAAGATTATCTCAATTTGTCCTCACAACAACTTGGGAAGTTGTGCTTTATGCATATTTATAGATGAGGAAACTGAGGCAGATAGAGTTGAAGTGACCTGGCCAGGTCACACAGCTAGGAAGTGTGTGAAGCTGCATTTGAAGCCAGGTCCTTCTGCCTCCAGTGTTCTCTCCAGGTTACTGCCACCCCACCCCCCAACAAGAATGGATGACAGAGCCAGGAAGTGAAGGGATCATGACAGGCTGGGTGGCAGCTAATAAGATGAAACTATAGGGATGAATGTAACTTTACATTAGGTGCACAAATCCAGTTTTTTGGTTGGACAACAGTTTATCTGAAAAAGACTGGAGGTTTCAATGGATTGCAAGCTCAGTATCTAGTATCACTGTGATAGCAGCCAAAAAGCTAACTAGATCTTGGGCTCCAGGAAGAAGCTGGTGATGAGTCGCACTCTCTGTACTCTCTGGCAGGACCACATCAAGACTCTTGCATTCAACTGTGAGCACTGCCCTTTAGAAGAAAACTGATAGTAAAACATGCCAAAGAAATGCAAGCAGGATAGTGAGGGGCTCGAGGATGCCATAAGAGGCCTGTTCACCAAACTGGGAAACTTCTTCTGAGCCTCTCAGATGCTTGGCTCCCTACCCACACCTCTCCCTCAAAAAAACCCCCAAAACCAACCTGGCCTTCTGTTGATTTTGATGAGGTTTATTTGGGAATATGGGCACTAGGTGGTGCCATAGTGCACAGAGGGCTTGGCCTGGAGTCAGGAAGACATCTTCCTGAGTTCGAATCTGGCCTCAGACACTAGCTGTGGGACCCTGGGCAAGTCACTACCCTTTGCCTGTTTCCTCATTTGTAAAATGAGCTGGAGAAGGAATGGCAAACTGCTTCAGTATCTTTGCCAAGAGAACCCCAAAATGAGGTCATGAAGAATTAGACAAGATTAAAAAATAACTCAACAACAAATATTTAGGGATTTATTTTCTCTCTAGATTGAATAGAAGCTCCTTGAGCCTGTGTGAGCAGTAGCAAGAAGGCCAATCCCACTGGTTTCTAGTATGTGTGGCATAGATAGGAGACTACATAGTGCAGTGGGTAGAGTGCTGTACCCAGAGTCAGAGAAACCTGGGCAAGAACATGGGCAAGAAATAAGCTGTTGAATTGTTTCAGTTGTGCCCAACTCTTTGTGACCTCATGTGGAGGGGTCCTTCAGGCAGGGAAGGCTTCCTAGAAGAGTCAGGGTGGGAAGGAGCTAGCCAATCTGGTCCAGAAACATTGTGGAAAAGCTGAGAGAGGTCAAAGAGCCCTGGGGGCCAGGGTGGTCAGGAAAGACTTCCTAGAAAGGAGAAATCTGACCCAGACTTTGAATGACACAGGAAATTGTCAAGGTCAGTGGAAAAATTCCTCTATTGTTTCAGGAACCATAGGGCAGCTAGGTGGCACACTACAGTGCCTGGAGTCAGGAAGACTCATCTTCCTAATTCAAATCTGGCCTCAACACTTACTAGCTATGTGACCCTGGGTAAGTCACTTAACCCTATTGGCCTCAGTTTCCTTATGTGTAAAGTGAATTGGAGAAGGAAATGGCAAATCACTCCAGTATCTTTGCCATTTTGCGGCAAGTTTTGTCAATCAGTCATTTTAGTAGTGTCCCACACTTTGTGACCAAGAGGGTGAAGAAGAGTTGGATGTGACTGAAATGACTGAATGACAAAGTTTGGGAATTGTCCCTGAAGAGAGGCCAATGTTAGGCTGTGCCACAGTTTAGGTGGAACATTGATGAGCTGGAGAAGGTGCTGATGGGAACCAGCAGGACCTTGAATCTGGTCTGATACAAACTCCCTCTTTGGTGTTTCTAACCTTCATAGCCAGGCTTGCAACTCCCTTCCCAGCATTGTTACTCATGAGCACAGTAGGATCAGAAATGGAGAGCTAGAAGAGCCCTCAGAGGCTGTCCCTCATTTTACATGTGAGGAAACTGAGACCCAGAGAAAAGAAGTAACTCACCCATGATCATCCAGCTAGTAGCAAGTAGTATGGTGGGATTTAATCATTGCTCTAAACCTGGAGGGGCCTCAGAGATCATTTAGTCCAACTGTCCTCACTTTACAGAGAGAAAACTGAGGCCTGGGGAGCTTAAGTGACTTACCCATGGTCACACAAGTGGTTCAGAAATAGGATTTGAGGCCAGCCTGAATCCAGCCCTCTTGCTGCTACTATGTGTCTCCTATCTGTACTATGCATGCTAGAGCCCAGCAGAATTGACTTTCCTGCTGCTGCCCAGAGAGGACAATGTACTCCCCACCCCACCCCCACCTGCCTCTATTTCTGTCCTGCTCTCCCTACTCACCTCCAGCTTTTAGAATCTCCAGCTTCCTCCAAAGCTCAGCTCAATTGCCACTGTCTACTTGAGGCTTCCTGATCATTCACACTGCCCCAGGTGCTTCACCTATCAATTACTTGGTACAGTCACTGTATTTGTATAAGACTTGAAGGTTTGCAATGTACTTTAAAAATATCCCATTTGATGCTCACAATAAGTTGGGAGGTGGTGACTATTATTATGCCCATTTATAGATGTGGAATTTGAGGCCAACAGAGACAGAGGTTAAGTGACTTGCCCAGGGTCACACAGCCAGTATTTGTCTAAGGCAGGCTTTGCACTCCGATTTTCTTGAAGCCAGATCCAGCACTCTGTCATTGGGCCACTAGCTGCATATGTTTGATATGTATACATATGGACACATGTTTCTCAGGATAGGATGGAAGCCTCTGGAGGGCAGGGATTGTTTTGGTTGTTTTTGTTTTGTGTTGTTTGGCTTTCTGTTTTTATCTTATGTTTAGTGCCTAGAAGAACCCCTGCAGAGAGTGGGCTATTAAATACTTCTTAGCTGTTTGATTGGTCTATAGAACCAGGCATATTTAGCCAGGAGAAGAAAAGGCTTCATGCAGGACTTGGGAACTCTCCTCCAGGACTTGGAAGAATGTCATGTAGACAAGAACCAGTCTTGTTCTCGTTGAACCCAGAGGGCAGAACCAGGAGCAATGAGGTGCTCAGGGCAGAACAAGGGTCCTGTCAATGAGAGCTGCCCCAGAGTGGAGGCTGCCTGGGGAGGTAGTGAGCATCCCATCTTGGGAGGTCTTCCAGCAGAAGCTGGAGGACTACTTCTCATTGAGGGTGTAGTGAAGATTCCTCTTCAGGGGTGGGTTCCACTAACTGTACTCTGGGTCCCTTCTGATGCTAAAATTCTGTGATTCACCCTCTCTCACTGCTAGGCCTTTATGAATAGCTTCTCTCGGGCTGTGGCCTTGGAATACCGGTCCTCTGGAGTCATCATACAGGTATGGGTGTGGGTGTGAGTGTGAATGTGCTTGTGTGATTGTTAGGGCCTGAAGAGATGGATGGGAAAGTCTGTGAGGAGCTCAGAGATGGGGGAGAGCTTGGGAAGAGGGCAAGGGGGCCAAGGTAAGTGGGATTGGTGAGAGGCAGCAGGTTTGGTGAGGTAGCAGAAGGGTGGGGGTAAATATGGCTGACCAGCTATTAGGGGAGGAAGCCCTTTGGGAGGTGGGCAGAGTGAGAACTATGACCCTTCCATCTAGTCATCAACTCCTTTCTCCAGACTCTTACTCCTCTGGTAGTTTCCAGTAACATGAGCCAGATGCCACCCACAAAATTCTTGGTGAAGTCTTCAGATGACTTTGTCAGAGAAGCCTTGGACACCGTAGGCGTCTCTAACTTCACCTGGGGGTGTTTCCTACACTCTGTCCACGTAAGTGACTGGGGTGCCCATTGGGTTGAACTAATAGGGAAGGTGTCCAGACCAACTCCTGGCGTGATGGGTTGGCTAAGGAGGGAAGGAAGGATACTCTTACATGCCAGGAACTCTGCTAACCCCTTTACAAAGATCTCATATGGTACTCACAACAACCCTGACAAGATAGGTGCTGTTATTATCCTCATTTTCCAGTTGAGGAAACTGAGTCAGAGAGATGTTCAGTGGCCTTTGTGGGGTCACACAGGCTGGATTTGAACTCAGGTATTCCAGACTCCAGGTCAGTGCTCTAGCCATTTATCCTATCTGTACACACCTGGGTAGAAGGTGATCCTTGGGGGTATGTGTGGTGTGTGTATTGGGTGAGGGGGTAATGGGTTTTTTGAGCAAGCATGGGGTTGTGAAAGAATGGGAGGCATGAATGAAGTCAGATGTCTTCCCCAGTTATAGTGTCATGGAAGGAACATTGGATTTGGATTCAAAAGACCTGGGCTGAAATCCTAGCCTTGCCATGTACTGGACCCTCATCAGTCACCTTGCCCAGGGTTTGTCTGGTACACAGGAAAGAATACTGGATTAGGAAATTCCAGTCCTGGCTGTGAGGGCTTGAGGAAGGCACTGAATATCTCTGAGACTCAGTTCCCTCATCTGTACAATGAGGTGGATGGCTCAGGGACCTCCTTCCAGCTCTAAATCTGTGATTCTAGACCTAAATCTGCAGAATTCATTTTTTTTCCACTTGTGAACTGAGAGTGGCTTCGATTAGGTGACCTCCATGGTCACTCACAGCTCTGAGTTCTCCTTTAGGAGAGGATGAGCTCCTGGGCCTGTGACTTCATAGGAGGTACGGAATTCCTGGTGAGGACCTTCCCTCTCCCAATACAGCTTGTCTGCAGCCTAGAGTTGTTGAGTTGCCTGGGGCACTGAGAGGGTTCCACAGCCTGTCTGTCAATGCTGTCCCATTGGCCCCTCAGCCTCTCAGCCACATAGCTTGTGGAGGGCTCAGATGTTCTGAGAAAGTCATCAGAGCAACCCCCCTCCTCCCTGGGTCTGATACTAAGTCTTGAGGCCTTGAAGGAAATGCCTCCCACCAGATTTACAGATTGGAACCCATTCCCAGGTGCCAGTTGTCATAATTCTAGATAGGTCAATGGGAACTCACTTATCCAAAGCCCATCTGACCAAACGCCTAAGACCTTGGCTTTTTTTGAGGGGGGGTCTTCAGTTATAGGGCGCATGACTCTCTAGAACTCGGTTGTCAGGAATGCAGCCAGTTCTATAAAATTCAATGATGCAGGATGTAGTTACCTAGAACCCACTGTGGGTAACTTTGATGTTTAGGGCTCTTATCAACAGCCTAGAATGCAGATATGTGGAACTTGGTGTCTACAAGTCAACTCAGAAGAACTCTGTCCTTCCAAATTGAGGTTACTGGGCTTTAGTTATTTGATATGCTGTTCTCTAGAAGTCGTTGGTCCAGAACAAAATCAAGAATGTGACAAGACCCCGAAAAAGAAACACCCTAGCTCCAAAATGTGTGCATGTGCATGCAAGCTTCTTAATCTTCTTCAAGGAGAACACACTGGGTATTTACTCTAAACCTATTGCTCTTATTCAACACAAAATTCTTACAACCTTGCTGCTGTGGTACTCTAAGTCCAAAGAAGATTAGAATTAACAGGTTGGAGATGCATGGACCACCTTCCCCCGATCCCCAGAAGGGGATGAACTCAGAGTGCAGACCAAGACCTAAGGTTTAGGACATGGCCAGTGTGGGATTTTTTTCCACTTGACTAGGCATACTGATTGCAAGGGCATTTTTTCCTTCTTTTTGAAACAGGAAAAGTGGGAAGGAGAGGAAATAGATTTAATTTAATTTTTTAAAAAAGATTAGAAGGGCACTGGAGTTAACTAGAGAAGGGCAGGGTGACTGATGGAATTAAGTGACTGGAGCAAAAGACAGAAATACAAAAGGCAACAATAAGGTTGGTTCCTGAATGCTGACTTCTTAGAGATTAGGACATTAGATAAATGGACTCTGGATAGGTGAGTTCCCACGGTTCCATCTAAAATTAGGGTGATGAACTGACTGCTAAGGAGTTTATCACTTTGTCTAGAGTTTGCCCAAGGATGCAGAGAGATGGGTGAGCTTATTTTTTTTTAAAAAGGAAATTGGAGTTAAGTGACTTGCTCAGGGTGACACAACTAGTAAGATCTGGAGTCACATTTGAACTCAGGTCCTCCTGACTCCAGTGTTGATGTTCTCTTCACTGTGCCACCTAGCTGCCCCAGTGAGCCATTTTAGATGTTTTTATTTTTAAAGGAAACATAATTTTTATCATATACTCATAGACTACAGTGCTGGCAAGTTATCTGCATGACCACTTTGAATCCAGTTGCTTCATTTTACAGAATAGGAAGCTGAAACCCAGAAAGGGTATCAGTCAGCCATGTAATGGGGTGCCCCAAAAAGCTGATATTGAACCATGTAAAGTGGGGCAGTAGCTCTCAGGAATAAGGAGGTGGTAGTCCCACATACTTCATGAGGAGGCCTGTGTTCAGTCCTGGGCACCATGGTTTAAGATGGACATTAATGGGATGGAAAATTTCCAGTGGTGGGAAACCAGGACAGAGGAGGGCTTGGTATCCAGAGTATACCATCAGCTGAGGGCATTGGTGGTACGGAATCTGGAGAAGACACAAGAGGATCATGATGGCTGTTTTGCAGTACTTGCATGTAGGGAGGGAATTAGCTTTGTTCTTTGGCCTCAGAGGGCAGACCTGGGAGCAGAGGGGCTGGCAGTGGGGTGGGGCAAGGGGAAGAAGGGACTGAAAAGTGGCCAGTTTTGGCTTGAGATCAAGGCAAACTTCCTGAGGATAAGAGCTGTTGCAAAGGTCACCGGGTTGCCTTGAGAGTCGAGTTCCCCTTCCTTGGAGGTCTTGAGGCTGAGGCTGGAGGAGCATGTGCTGGGTGTCTTCTAGTGAGTATTCTGTTCCTGTGTGGGATGGATTCAATGGCCTCCTGGGTAGACTAGAACCCCCGGGCCATCTGACTCTTTCCCCTTCACAGAACTGTGCACCCCAGTCCCAGGGTTCTCGAGCACAGAGGGTGAATTCTATTTATCCAGTACCTGCTGTGTGCGAAGCCTTGAAGTGAACAGAGTGTACTCTACAGCATGTCAGATAATACCAAAGCGTTAGAAACAGTAGGGACATAATTTATACAATGTTAAATGAGGTTGATACTGTATATGCCAGAGGCTGCCTCCCAGACAGGTATTTGTTAGCAACATGAAGATTAGAACACAAGGTAACCTCTCTTAATTCATACAGGAGAAATACATGGGGGTAAATTCAGCCTCAGACTCTTAGTAGGTGTGTGATTCTGGGCAAGTCACTTAACCCTGTTTGCCTCAGTTTCCTCATCTGGAGAAGGAAATGGGAAACCCCAAATGGGGTTACGATTGGGACACAATTGGACCAGAAATGAGTAGATGAGAGGAAGGGGAGGAAGCATTGCTATAACAACAACTATGTACTAAGCCCTTTACAAATATCTCATTTGATTCTCACGCCAACCGTGGGAGGGAGGTGCTGTTATTATCCCCATTTTACAGGTGGGGAAACTCTGGCAGGTTGAGGTTAAGTGACTTGCCCAGGGTTTCATAGTTAGTAAGTGTTTGAGAACAGATTTGAATTCAGGTCTTTCTTCCTTCCTTCCTTCCTTCCTTCCTTCCTTCCTTCCTTCCTTCCTTCCTTCCTTCCTTCCTTTCTCTCTTTCTCTCTCTCTTTCTCTCTCTCTCTCTCTCTCTCTCTCTCTCTCTCTCTCTCTCTCTCTCTCTCTCTCTCTCTCTCTCTCGCTTTTTAAGGCAGCTGGGGTTAAGCGACTTGCCCAGGGTCACACAGCATAATTGTCAAGTGTTTGGTGTGAGGCCAGATTTGAGCTCAGGTCCTTTTGATTTCAGATACTGTGCCACCTAGCTGCCCCAAATTCAGGTCTTTCTAACTCCAAGCCCAGCACTCTATCCACTGCATTACCAGCTGCCTCATCCTCAGCATTCTCTGCCCTGTGAGGCTTCACCTCCTGATTGATTGGTTCCTTCCAGAACTTCCATTGTAAGGGGAAGGCCCAGGCAACAGTTATTTTCAGCCCTCTCCAGGCTGCATTGCAGTCATCTGCATAGAACTTCCCCTACCTTTTCTCTTCCCATTTTTCAGCTTCTTTTTAGCACTCCATTAGAAGCAAAGCTTCTTGAGCTAGGGATTGTCTTTGTTTCTGCTTGTATTTGTGTTTCCAGCACTTAGCACAATACCTGGCACATAGTAAGGTCTTAATAAATGCTTACTGGCTGACTGGCAGTATAATATATAGCACTCATGTGGAAGAATCTTGGACTATCAGAGGTGGAAGGAACACCTGAGAATAGAGAATATCAGAACTATAAGGGACCTTAGAACAGGGAATGTCAGAACTGGGAGGGCCCTTAGAGCAGGAAATGTCAGAGCTGGGAGGGCCTTAGAGATCATGTGGTCTAGAGATATCAGAACTCCTGGACTGAAAAACACCAAAGTGCTGCCCAAACCAGATTAAAATATAATTGGGAAATACTTATGAAGGTAAATACACTCTGCTTCATGGCAAATATTCAAAAGTCAGCAGTCATCTGCTGGGCTCTGTTTCTTCTTGGAGGTGTCTGAGGAAGCCATGATGGGGGAGTGCCCTAGGCCCCAGTTCTCTGGGCCTGGGAGCCAGGCTGAGGCCAGGTTGCCTCCTGACCATTGTGCTCCCTACTTTCCTCAGAGCTTGTTGCTGTGGCCCCTGACCTCCAACTTCACATTCAGCACCCCGATTTAAAGTTCTTCTACTCTCTGTTCAATGCATCCAGAAGATCCTGAAAAAGTTGTGGAAGGAGGTGGGGCTCAATTGGAGGCCCTTTGTTGGGGATGGGCAGGGACTGCTGTTGGTGGGAAGAGGGGGGCAAACAGAGGGGTTTCCTCTGCTTGGCTCATCCCTCTGTCCTGCTTTCTAGTCCCTTTGAGGAGAAACCCAGCCCTGAGCGCCATAGCTGTAACTTGTTATAATAAATTGTTTTCTCTTTAGCCAGCTATCTGTCTTATCAATAGCTGCATGGCCCAGCACACTCACCACATCCTGGTGCCACCGCAGCCACAGTCGCCTGGGAGTCCTGGGTCTGAACCCCACCTCCACCCCTATCACTCGCAGGTCTGCTGAGTGGGGCCCAGGAGAGGCAGCCTGACCTCTGTTGCCCATGGGCACCCTCCAGATACTGAAATCCAGAGAGCAGAAAGGGCAGGGGTGATGGGGGAATGGAGGAGGCTCCTCCTCTCTCCTCCTCTTCCTCCTCCTCGTCTTCCTCCTTCTCCTTCTCTCCTCCCCCTCATCCTCCCTCTCTCCCTCCCAGCTCCCCACTCTCAGAAGTTGTCACAGACTCCAGGCTAGGGTGGAGGGGAGTTCATACACTGTGAAATTTACAGGCCCCAGGAGTTCTGGTTCCCGTCTGGAGCTCAATCCCTTTTTTGCTCTGTAACCCTGGCCAAGTGACTTTCTGTTCCTAGTCTCATTTTCCCTTCTGTAAAATTAGGTGGGAGGGCATGGATTTTGATGAATCTCCAAAATTCCTTGCCAGCCCCTGGGACCAGTCCCCTTACAATCTTCCTTAGGTCTGACATTCTGGGTCTTGGGTTCAAGCAGGGCCATTGCCCTCGATATGTGCCACTTTCATTTTTCCAATGGCATGGAAGCCAAGGCTCAGAGAGGGGAATGCATTTGCCCAAAGGCACTCAGCAAACCCACCCAGGGAGGGGCAGAGGCAGGAAAGGTCTCAAGGCTCTCTGCCTTAGAACAAGCAGAGCGCCTTCGCCTCCTGCCACCCCCCATGTATGTCACAGCCCTCTCCCCCTGTACCTCCCCCCTGCACTTCCCCCACCACCACAGCTCCCTCCCCTCACCCCTCTCTGAACACTTCTAGCTGGAAGCTGGGAGGGCTGGCTCCCAGAGGGCAGAATTTGGCCCTCCCTCTTGGCTGCCTTTAGCTATCTCCCTTCCCCTTCCCCTTGAGGAAGAAAAACAAGGAAAGAAATCATATTCCTGTCTCTGTCCCAGGGCCTCTGGGGACCCAGCAGGGAGTCACCAAATCCCGGAGTGTCAGGGCAGGAAGGGATGGCAAAGGTTGACTTGGCCAAATCCTCTAGACAGATGGGGAAACGGAGACCAAGGGAATGAGTCGGACCTAGGCCAGGGCCTCATAGTGAGGCAGAGTAGGGGCAGGGCCCAACTTCCCACTCCTAGCTCTGGGGCCAAGGGAACTTACCCACTTACCCAAGGCTAGAGACTGGGAAGAAGAGATTGGAGAAGGCCCTGCCTTCCCTTCATTGTCTGTAGGACTCCCTGAAACTCCCATGCTGGCGGAGATTGGCCCTGGAAGCTTTCTTGGAAGCAGCCAGTGTGGCAGCTCAGGTGTGGCAGGGTGTGTGATGAGTTCAGCTGAGACCAGATGCCCCTTTTCACGAGCACCGAGTTCAAGTCCTGCTTCTAACACTCATTAACTTTGTGACCTTGGACAACTCCCTACACTCCTGGGAACTGGTTTTCTTTTGCTGTGAAAAGGAGTTGACAATCTGGCCTCTGAGATCCCTTTCGGCTCTAAATCTTATCCTATATATCCTAGATATTTGAAACCTTTGAGGGAAGGAGAGGAGTAAGAGGGGAACCCCTTCATTTCCTCTTCCCCACACTGTTCCCTTCTTCTGATATAGGATGTAAATGAGGTTCCTTCAGAAAGGAGCGTCATATGGGGGGGGACTTAAAGCAGCCAGTGGTAAGGCATAGGGCCATGTTTCCTGCTCAGACTGGGAGTCCTTGGAAGGGAAGGCCAAGCCTTCTCCTTTTGCAGGGAGATTCCTGCTAGGGGACCCTAGCCACCTTGGGGTTCATACCCCTAACTTGTGCCCCAGCTCGATGTGGGAGAGAGGGCTTGGTGCCCCGACCTTGCCTCAGGGGCCTGCTTGGTGCCTCCCCACTTGCCATCCACCCCTACCTCCCAAAACAGAACTCAGCCTCAGTTGCTCGTTAAGTAGAAACGTATTTATTTTATAATCATACATTCCTTATTATATGAGGAGCCACCCCAAGAAGAAGTTTAGAGGGAAGAGAGATGGAGATGGGGCAGAGCAAGGCACAGCCTCCATTACTTCTATGGGACCTACCCTAACTCCGGAGCAGCCCTGGCTCCCAACTCTGCCACTGGCTTGCTGTGTGACCTAGGGAGAAGTCCCTTTCCTCACTCTTGAGCCTCAGTTCTCCTGTCTCTAACATGAGGGAATAAAACTCCATGATCTGATGTATCTTCCCACCCTGATAGTCCATGCACTCAGTGTAGTGGCTGGCACGTAGTAGGTGCTTAATAAATGTTTTGATTGATTATTGATCTAGGTCCTAACTTTCTAACGTTCACTTTCTATGTTTTGAGGTGCCTCCCAGCACTGACCTTCTCTGTTCTAAGTTTCCTCCCAATTCTGACATTTGGTGTTCTAAAAGTTCTCCCAGTTCTGATGGTCCATGTTCTAAAGGCCCTTCCAGCTCCAATATTCCACTTTCCTAGAGTTCTTCTAGCTATGACATTCTGTTCTGAGGACTCTCCCAGCTCTGACATCACTTACTCTATGACCTGGTTTGAAACCCAGGGACTGAATCCATCCTTGGGGTCAGAATCTTTCTCAGCAGCAGATGTTAGGGGAAAGGGAGAAGACATAGGCTTCCAGGCTGGGACAGCAGTATCACAGGCAGGTTGTAGAATTCCAGGTGTGCTCAGGCTGGGCATGAGGCAGAGCAGGGTGCCGAGGGCAGTGGCTGGGCAGGCAGGCAAGATCAGGCCTAGTGAGTCGGGCAAGAGGGAGGGGGAGGCTCAGACAGAAAGGTGGCCAAGGGATAGGAATGTCAGCAGAAAAACTCAGTCCCTGGGAAGGGCAGGAGTCCCTTTCTCACTCTGCTCCAGGCCCCGAGACACAGCCAATAACTCATAATGAGCTGCTGCACCCTGGAGAGCCCTCACATCTAAGAGGGCAGCCACATGCTTCCTCCTTGGGAGAGATGAGGGGATATCATTGAGGTCTCAGAATCCTCACCATCCAACCCAGGTCCAGAACAATCATTCTATCCAGATATGGGGCTTGGAACTCTCCAAAGGCAGTTCTAGAACCCAGAGACTCATATCGAGAACCCACATTCTTTCTCCAACTGTTTCTGGGGTTGACACCCCCAGCTTAATTCTCACCCTAGTTCAATCCAGAGCCCTACCCCTAAACATATCTAGAGCCAATATTCTCCCCAAGTGCTGCAGGCTAGAGCCCATCAAATTCTGTAGTCCTCACCAGCCCAAAAGTCAACTATAGAAACCCAAACACAGATCCATAACCTAGGCATGGTCACAACACAGTTCTGGGAGCTTTATTCATATATCCAGCTCCAGAATCAGCCTCCCCCTGAACCAAGTTAATCCTGGAATCCTTATCTCTAGAGCCCAGAAGCCAGAGCTAGAACCCCCAGCTCTGAAACCCACCCAGAACAGCCCCTGCAATACATCTGCACATACTGCACCAGGGCCTTTGGTGCAGCTCCCCCACCAGGGCATAGGCACATATCAGAGTGAGTACTAAGGGGAGACACAGTGATGTGGGGCAGGGGAGAGAGATCAGGACAGAAGGAAGGAGAAAGATGGGGGGATATTGGAGGGCACAGAGGGATAAAGATGAGACGAAATGATGGGACGTTACAGGGAAAGAGATGGGGAGACAGTAGGACAAAGGAGATGGGGAAAATGAGAACAGGAAGAGATGTAAGGGGAGAGATTGGGTGATGGAAATGGGAGAGATATAAGGGAGATAGAGAGGAGGAGATATTTCAGAGATGGAGAAGGGCATGAGAGAGAGGAAATATTGGGGGAGAGGGTGGGGAGGGGAAAGAAGGAGAAGAAGGAGAAGAAGAAGAAGAAGAAGAAGAAGAAGAAGAAGGGGAGGAGGAGGAGGAGGAGAGAAAGAGGAGAGGAGAAAGAGCAGGGGGGAGGGAGGGAGAGGGAGAGGAGAGAGGAAAGACAGAGACAGAGAGAGAGAGAGAGGGAGGATAGATATGGGGGTAGATTGGGCTAGATTAGTCACAGAGACCCAATTTTGGAAGGAGAGGAGAAGGAAGGAAGGGCAAAGGCACCAGAAGAAGGGGGGGGGAATGCTTTTCCCCTTCTATTTTCTGCCTTTCTCCCTGTTCATTGTCCAATCATCCCCTCCCTCCCACCTGTGGACATGTCCATTCATACCTGATAAGGCTGGTCATGCATTCTTCGTAGGGCCAAGGCTTGAGCTCCCAGGGTCCCTACAATGCCATCCAGAACCTCAGAGCTGGTCAGCTACTTGTGGCACATCACTTTGGAGAAGTGGGACTGGAATTGTCCAGAGAAAGGAGAGATCAGAGTTCATCTGACTCAGAGCTCCCTTCAGGTGCCACCCACGACATTGAGTCCATAGGTAGAAGAACCAGGAATTCTGCCCCCTTCCAGCCTTGATAGGCGGATCCCAGAGCCCATCACTGTCTTCATGAGGGTGGGAGGGGTTGAGCACACACATGTAGCCAAAGCTGAAACTCACCTAATTGATGCCCACCGATTCCACACAGAGTCACAGACTTAGGCACAAAAGCAGCTATAATGTCATACCCACCCTGGACCAGCAGGCCCAGGCACAGCCACAGGCCTCCATATTCCTGAGTATAGCAGTCAATAGGCAGTGGCAGCCTGTGGGAGCTTAGGCCCAGACCCATGTTGTGCCTTCCCCCTCCCCAAGCTGGACCTTCTGTGTAAACATCGATCTCCTCCCTCCATTCTTCTGTGTCCCCTTTCTTTCTTCTCTTCCTTTGTCTTAGTCCAGTTTCTGGCTCAGCTGGACCTCGGCCTGATCCTGATGTGACCCTTGTCACAACCCCCAGGTCCCCATTTTCTAGTCAGTTTGGGAGGGGGGCCAGAGGCTTCCTGAGACTGACCTGCAGTTCTTGAAAGAGCAGGTCAGCCAGGACGCGGTGGCAGAGGTGGATGACATGGTCAAGAGCATTTGCAGCTGCCTCCCGAGCAGGCTCGCTCTCTGAGGGCCCCAGCCAGGACAGATGGTCAGCTAGGGAGCTGTGGGGGAGAAGCCAGGGCTCATCACTAGCTGACCTTGGGTCCCAGCTGGCTCCCTCCACATATTAGGTGGGCAGGCAGGAAGGGAAGTGTACCTCTCCACATTTGGAGGATGGGTTTCTGTGTCTTTGGACACTGTATCTCAGTGGTGGGCAGGTGGCATGGCGTTGGTCTCTGTGAGAGGTCTCTCCATATCTCTGATGGGAAGGTGTCTCTGTCCTTGGAGGAATCTCTCTGTCTTTGGGTCGTCTTTCTAGTGGAGTTTCTCTGTCTCTGGAGTTCTCTTTGTGTGTCTGAGGGTCACTCTGTCTCTGGAGAGGTTTCTCTCAGAGTGTAGGGAGGGGTCTCTTTTGAAGTCTGTGTCCCTGAGGAGGATGTCTCTGTGTCTCTGGGAAGGATGTTTTTCTTGAGGCCAGTATGGACGTCCCTTTCCGTGTCTCCAGAGGAAGTGTAGATGGGCTCTTTCTGTGGCCCTTTCCCAGGAGGATAGAGTTGGGGAGAGGAAGGAAAGGACCTCAGAACATCTGGGATAGGGACAGAGTCCCCGAAGAAAGAATGGGCCAACTCACCATGGAGAGAACATTAGGTCATGCTGGGGCCCTTCTCTCCGTCCTCTCTAGGGTCTGGCTTACCAAAGAGGGGGGCCACAGTTCACCAAGGTAGTTGTCCGGCTGATACAACTGTCACTTGGCAGCCCTCAGATGCTTGGATTCTCATGGAAGTGCTCTACCCACTGCTGGAAGCTGGAAGGTCAAGAGACAGAAGGAGAAGCTCATGTCAGGTGTCTCCTTTGCAGCCCACCCCTCAAGTTCTGAACTCACCTCCTCCAGGAAGCCCTCCAGGTTTCACTCTCCCTCATGTTTTATTACTTTCTCACCTCACAGTTACTTCTTCACCCTCAGGCAATCTGATTTCCATGTTTACCACCTGACTGAAAGTGCCCTCTTCTGAGCCACCAGGAATTTCTCTCTTGCTAAATCCAATCACTTTTCCTCACTCTTCCTGCATCTCTGTGCTGCTTTGGACTGAGCCTACCATCCTCTCCCCTGAATACTCTCTCCTCTAGGTTTTCAGCATGCAGTTCTCCCACCTGCTCCTCCTTCCACCTGATAATAACTTGGCTGATTCTGCTTCATGCCTTTTCTGCTCCCCCTAGCTAGGATCATCCCACATCCCAGATGACTCCCATATCTGGCCCACATTTGTCTGCCAAGCTCCGGGCTCACATCACCACTGTCTGCTGGACATTTCCATCTGGATGTGCCATGGCTGAGAATCCTAACAGAACCCATGATCTTTCCTCTCCAACCTACCCCCCTCCTAAACCTCCCATTTCTACAATCTATGCCTCCATCTTTCCAGTTCCAAGTTTGCAATCTCAGAGTCCTCATGGACTCTTCGCTGTCCCATATCCAACTTCTTCCCACATCTTGTTGATTCATTGTATCCTGAGCACCTGTCCCCTTCACTCTACTCACCAGCCTCATTCAAGCTCCCAGCCCTTCTCTTCAGTCCTATTGCACTGGTCTCCTATTTGGTCTCCCCTTGACAATCCACCCTCCACAACCTGCCAAAGTGATCTCATGAAAGTACAGTCCTGACCACGTCACTCTGCCGCTGCTCAAGAGTCTTCCGTGACTCCCTAATCACCCTAAGAATCAAAATGTTCTACTTGGTATTTCACCTTCCAGTCTACTTTTCCTGTTTAATTTCACATCACTACCTCTCACGCACTCTATTCCAGACAAATTGACATGCCTGCTGTTCCCATTCTTTCTCCTACCTTTACATTGACTGTCTCTCATACCTGGAATACACTCCCTCAGCACTTGGATGTTTAATTCAGATGCCATCTCCCACTTGGGACCTGTGATGATCCTCCCCTCTCCCAATTTGTTAGGTCTCCCTCCCTTCTGAAATTCCTTTGAAATTGCATCCCCCTTTCAAAATTAAACAATCAAATAATTTTTAAAATCATCTGTTTACATACTATATCTCTGAAGGAGAAGGTAAACTCCTTGTGGGAAGGGCCTTTTTCTGGTCCCTGTAACCCCAGACCATGGTACAGTACCTGATACATAGTTCTCTCCCCACCCTATCCCACCTCTTCCATCTGAGACCACCTTCCATCTCTTTAGCATACATCTTGTATGTGCAACGTTATTGGCTTACTGTCTTCCAGATTGGAAAATAAGCTCCCTGAAGGCAAGAACCGGGAAGTGTACGGGTTTTTTGATTCTTTTCTTTGTATTCCCAGCCACTGGTCTGGTGCCTGGCACAATCATTCAATAAATGCCTGGCTGACTCAAATAGTAAGAGCTTAATCAATGCTGGGTTGAATTGAATCCTAGACTAAGTTGAAAAAAAGGGATGACCTGTGTCATGGGCAGGGTATTCCACTAAACCCGGGGTGGGGGAGGTCCAAAGACTCAAAGAGTTTCTGCCTCAAGGAGCTCATGTGCTTTGGGAGAAACAGTATTTACATGTCAGTCAATCCTTCCACCAGCATTGCCTAAGCACTGTGACCCAGTGCTAGGAGCTGCGGAGACAGACAGAAATGAATCCAGTTCTTGCTCTGAAGGAGCTTACATTCTGCAAAGGAAACAAAGTGTACCCAGAGAAGCAAAAGCACT